ATTAATATAATAGTAATTCATTAAAGTATTTATTTCTTAGTATATATTTTTGGAATATTCATAATAGAGTTGTTTGTATTTTCATGTCAAAGAGTCATTAATAAATTCGGAAAATTTTTATATAAAATATAAAAATTCGATATTAAATTAATGATTAAATATAAGCATTATAAAATTTGACGGATGCCTTCGTTAAAGAATCGCGAGTCAATTATTATAAATTTAATGATATGCTTTCCGTTAGCTTTATTTATTTATGAATTCCATATCGCGCGGAACTGAATATTCTTAAAATAAATTATTAAATTATGATTGCAAAAATACCGTGTTCTTTCCACGTTCTCTTCGCGTTCTTGTACAAGATTATCATTTTAACAAAAGAATTTTATCGCTGTCCCTCTCGTCAGATAATATTCCTAAATATTGCTAATTAAATATAAAGAAATGTCGAATAAGAGAGTGAAGATTCGATGTGATAAGTCAACGATTAAATATTAACTTTACAAAATTTAACGATCACCTTCGATATTATAGAATCGCAAGTTAATTATTATGAATTTAATAATTTGTTTTTTCAGTTATATTTCAGTTGTATTTACAAATTTTGTATCGGAAAATATTCATAAATAAATTAATAAATTATGGTTGCGAAATCACCGTGTTTTTCCTACGTTTTTTTCGCGTTCTTAGACTAGATTATCGTTTTATTAAAAGAGTTATCATTGTTCCTTCCGTTAAATAAACGTTAATGAAAGTTCCGTGGCTCGTACCGCCGAGGAATCGAACGATTTTCATCATGGAGAATTATTTCTCACCGGTTCTTGTGAGATCCATTCGCGACGTCTAGTTCGGTGCCCTGTTGAAAATTGGGAATTTTTATTGTAAGATTGAAAGAACTAATCCCAGGTTTTCCTGGCAATTTCTGAAAGCAATGATTTTGATAGTAATTCAACGATGAACACCATACGCTTCTTTAAAGTCGAATTAATAATAAATAACATATATTTAGATGAAAAAAATGTATCCTTTCTTTTCTTCGTTAAAAAAGTTCTATCATTATTAGGATTGGTATTATTATTGTCTAATGCTAGAAAGATTTAATAATAGATTAAAGATGGATATAGCGTTGCTTATAAATTCTTATTTTTCAAATAATTTCATATTGTGATTAATTTTTATTAATTTTTTGATAAAAATGATTACGAACAAATATATTTTCAATTATATAATTTGTCTCTCTTTTGAAAAATTATTTCTAGGTGCTGGGGATATTAACATTAATTTTTAGTTTCTTTTAAGAAACTATCTGCAGGTATTGGACATCTAGCCATTAGCCATTTTGAAATATAAGTTTTTAGATATATACCATTTTATATATATATGTATAATAAAATACATGCACAAATTAACGTATCCAAAATATTTTTATCATTTTTATTAATATGATATATTATATATACGCGAAATTATACATGAATGTTACATAAAATGTGCGAATACTTGAAAATTTCGAGACAAATCGAATGGGTACCTCTTTATCAGTAAGATATTAATTAAAAGAAAAAAAATTATCAGTTTAAATGTTATAAGAATAAGAACCTAGAGAATTAATTTGGAATTAATTATTTAAAATTATTTGATTTATTTTATTTTGCACACTATTTGAACTGAAATTTTTTTAATCTTGCTGATATCGGATTCGATTCGTCTCGCGCGCGCGAACGGTACTTCAAATTATTGTGTTGGCACATTTAACACAAACTCCAATGATGCATGTATTTTATTATTTATAAATATAATCGTTTGTAATCACATTTTTATAAAAAATTTGTTATATCCATTTAATTTGCAATAAAGGTATATATTTCTTAATAATGAAAGAACATGTTTTCTGACGTGAATATCAATTTCGTGAATTGAAGACAATGATGAGGGATAATTGTTTCGTCGTTGATATATTACTGAAATCATTGCTATCGAGAATAGTCCGGAAGATCCAGGATTCGTTTCCTTATAGTAAAGTTCCTGACGTTCAATGGATCACTTAACTTTTCTTCGTAGATTGATCTTGTGAAATCTGATGTAGAAACAAGATGTTAATCGTTCTCCATATTTAAGATCGCTCCTCTTTTTATCGGATATTTTTATTGGTATGTCACTGGCGTATCTGATGATTTCGATTATTATACTATATTATAAAAATTATGTGTAATCGAATATTTTAAATATTATCGATTTATTTATTCGCGTTTTTTCGGGAATTTTAAATCGTGATTTATCTTATAATTTAATATAAATTATAATTATCTTATAATTTAATCGTTGACTTATACATCAAAGCTTTGTCTATCTTTCCACGTTTTTGAATATTGTCTTTAATAATCCGCGTAAAATCCACTAATAATATAAATATTTTTTTCTATAATTAAAGAACGGTCGATAACTTTATTAATGACTGTTTTAATCGCGATTGTTTACACTAGATAAATCTTATTAAATTCTATTATTACATCAATTATTAGAGAGACCTTGATAAAATCATTCAATTCTCTATTAAACGACGGCGATAACGTGATTTTTTAATTATATTTTAAAGCTTATAAAGCTTTCATTTTATCTTATTTAGCTAATTATGCGCGAGATAGGATATGTATTTTATTCTCAATCAAAATTCGTATAAAATCGCGTATTAATCACAAATAAATTGGATAGTGAATTTTATGTTCATAAACAATTCGGACCACAAATGTTTATTAAAATATCTTCGTGTATCATCAATTTGTGTGATAATAATTATGTTGCGCGCATATCTATTGATGGTTTTGATTATCATATTATAAAAATTATACGTATATTTCTCGTAATCGAATATTTCGATTATTATCGATTTATTTATTCGCGTTTTCTCGCAAATTTTAAATCGCGATTTATTTTGTAATTTAATTGTTGGTTTACATCGAAGCTTATTTTATTTTTTCGTATTTTAAATATTTCCTTTGATAATCTACACAAAATGCGCCAGTAATGTAAATACTTTCTTGTACAATCGAAGAAATGATCAATAATTTTATTAATGACTCTTTTAATCACGATTATATTATTATACGTTACATAAAACTTATTAAATTCTATTATCGCATATCGATTATTAATGATAAATGTTGCTTAATTAATCATCGCTAATCGGGCTTATCTGGATTATATAAAAATTTTTAGTAAATTTTATATTATACGTATATTTTGGACATTTTCGCGTAATGAATTATTATTCCATGTAATAAATAAAAATTATTTTGCATTAAGCATGACAAATGATGGTAATCCTTATGATTTTAACACCAAGGAACAATTAACCATAATAATCCAAGAACTCGAGGAAGAGAATATATTGGATAGAAATGAATAATGATTGGAAATGATTAGAAATTAAAAGAATAATATGAATACAACCTATTTATTAATAGTAATACTATTTTGTAATTATATTAAATTTTATAATTTAGTACATTGTATTATATAAAGTATTCGGCATAAAAATATTATCCTGGTATAAAAATTATAATAAAATTATATAATGTAAAAATAAATAATGTTGACTATATTAAAATGGAACATATGAATTCTTTATATTTTATATAAAAGAAGAGACATTTAAAATATTTTACAACATCTATATTTTTTGAATCTCAATTATAAAAACTTTAGAAAAATCAGTGATTAATTTGACAAATTTTATACATGCATTAATAATTAAATTTTTAAATAATTAAGAAATGATTAATAAATATCAAACATCAGTTTCCTACTAATTAAGATTTATAGAAATAACGGTTAAAATGTTTTTATTCTGCAGGCATTTTGTGTTTTGTAAATAAAAATATATAAATATGGCAATAAATATAGAAAAAGATTTATTTTATCTTTGAACATTATATTGGAAAATTACAGTATCTTTCGCGATTGAATAATTTATTTAATATCAATTTATATACATAAGTGTCTTGTTATACTCTGGTGCTACCGGCATTTCGTGCACATAGCACGGAACGAAACCAGAAATTGTGCATATTATATCCTCTGAGAACATTCATGGACAATGGCTTTGTAGTTCATGTCCACGTTTTCAATGTCCATAGAGGGAGTATCGCTTTCAGGGATCACCCAAAAGCAGGCCATGACATCTCTCAGTCTTCTCTCTGGTGCTGTCACATGGTAGTCGGAATTTCGGAAAACGGAATCTCGGAAAAATACTAGAATACTAGAACTAGGAACGGGATTAAAGTTTTATCTTTATAAGAAGAATTTTATTGTTAATAAATAATTGTTTGGTAAATATTTATTAATGTACATACAAATATTTAATCAAAATATTTTATCACATAAAATAGTTATCATATTGTCAAGAATAAAAGTTGCGTGTTTGTTGGTTCGGTTTTTTTGTGGCTAGGCTCCCCATGGACTAATATTTCGGAGCATTTCGGAAATTAGTAAAAGTATAAAAATTTATTTTGATAGTTTTCCGACAAAAAAATAATTAATACAATAGAAAAATATATAAAAAAGTGACATTTGTATGTATAGTTTATTATAACAGAAAATAATAAAGAAATTTTCTTAATTGAAAAACAATTTGATGTTAGAATAACATTCCGTTTTCCGTAAAAATCATTCCATGGGGAGCGAAGCTAAAAAAAAAATGCTCGAAAAATTGGATTGGAAAAAAATTCTGATTGGTTGATCACCTCTCTAGTACTTTTTCAAAATTCCAACTGCCATATGACAGCATCCTTAGCGGTTGAGTCCGCTGAATACGGTCATTGGCTAATATTGTGGAATCTCTTGGGACTTTAAAAATTCTCTATTCGATAGCCAATCGGGACTCGTTATTATTTTGAGAATGCATATCTATTTAGAATATATGTGATTTATGATTGAAATCAATTATCCGATTGGTCAGAGCGCTCCATTGGGCGGGAATTCGTTTGAAATCTTTTAAAATTTATGCCGCCATGTTGTACAACGAAAAATAACATCTTGCTGCATTTGTCGAGGCAAGTTTTGCTCGAGAATGGCTACGGATGACACATCGCACTTCAATAAGGAATGTAAATCTGGAAAGACTGTCTACAAACGGAGGTCGTCGATTTTCCACACACGAATCGCAACCGACCAAGCTAAAGGTTAGTCCACTTTGCTATAATCTTATAATTTTGACAGATTTTAAACACTTTCTTTTTAATCAACAAATGCTATGAAAATTAAAAGGAAAGAGAGATAAAGGAATATATTTACCTTTGTCATGTGTATATCATTTCAAATAATTATTATAAATAAATATAATTAATATAATTATATTGTAAATAAATATATGTTATATATAATAAATAAATATTATAAATAAATATATAATTATATATTATAAGTAAATATATTATTTTTTTTTTTGCAAATAATTTGGTTCTTTGCAAAAATGCTTTCCTGTATAAAGAATTCTGTTGATGCCTAGCAACTCAAGAATATAATTATCTGTTTTCTTAGACAATGAAGGTCCACCTGATGGGAACAAATTTTCACCGAGTAACATCAATAAGGAAGGTATTGCTGAAAATAAAACAGAGACATTTAATCTGAAGAAATATATAGAGGAACTCAGACAGGAGCGTAAAGCCTGGCAGAAAGAATACAAAAGCCGCAAGACTCAACGGAAAGATCTGGCTAAACAGAAGACAAGTTTGGAGAAACAAGCTTTTGATATAAGTATATTGACAGAATCTGACAGAGCTTTTCTTCTGACACGTCCCAATTATGAACTTATCTGCCAAAATAGTCAAAAAACTTTGGATGCGGCATTAAAGATATCTCTACTTGGTCAGCATATACAGAAGTTAAATAAAAAATTGATGGAAAAAATGGAGAATAATATATCCACTGCCACTAAAAATGTTATAAAATTATCAGAGCAATAAAACAAGTATCCTTTAAGTATTATTTATTCTTACAAGTCTACAAATTTCCAGGTAATAAGGGAGCTTCATAGTAAAAATATAAATAACAATTAAATATGACATTACACACGATTAATTATACAATACTTATTGATACAATGATTACGATTATAATACATCCATCACATATATATTGAGTACAAATATAATAAATACAAAATAATTTACCAATAATATACAAGATTAAATTTCATATTTGCGAAGTGACCGTCTACTTTCTGCCATTTTTCTGGTACGTCAACAAAATTCTGGATACTTGATTCGATCGTATTTCTGGTTTTAGGGCGACTCGTACGATCATGTCGTGTTGTATTAATATTCAATGCTTCAGATAATCTAAGATTACATAGAGTAACCAGTAGAGCTGTCATCTATATAAATGAAAACTCTTCCTCCTTGCTGCTTTTCTTTCCTTTTGTGCAAGATATTCCTTTCTAGATTGGCTGCTATGCAATTCTAGAATGTGATTAATTTTTCGTACAATTTCTTCAGCTGTTACTGAATCCGCTTCAAAATCGTGATTCTTAAACGATGCCGATTGATGAAGAGAATGACTTTGACCTGTAATATCATTAAGTAGTATTAGAATATTTTTATTTTATTATCAGAATATATTAGAATATATTATTTGCAAAATATTAATGTTTTGTTATACAAGAATATTTAATTAAAATTAATTAATAAATTATTTAATTAAAATTTTCGCATATTTAATTAAAATTTTTTCATAATTTAGGAAAAATTTTACGCACTACCATCCGTAGTGGCTCTTATTTGCTAGTTTCTTATCGTGTTGTTTAATACATATAGAGCTTAATTCTTTAATTTATTAAGAATATTTAATGTGTCAAAAATGATAAATTTATAAATTAAAAAAAGAAACTTTTATTAGTTCTTTTGTGAGAGAAATAGATAATGGTCATGAGATAAATAAATATAGTTATATATAATTAAAAGAACTATTAGAATTAAATGAATACAAACTTAGAAAGTTATCTGGAGCGCTAGATTGCGGAGTATAAACTAGTGTAAACATAGTTTTTGATCCCTTAGTTTCGGTCACTTCACACCAAGCAATGTTGTCAATATGATAACTGACCGCCCGCTGTCTATTCCAAAATCTGGCAGCACCTTTACCCGTTATAACTGGATCTATTTCTATCTTCTCACCCGATATCCCAAGATGAATCTCAGTCTTTGCTCGCATCTTATTAATTATGTATACCCTAAATGTACAATAAGATATTTACTTCTTAAACATTTGGACATATCATCTTAAACAATTGCCTTGTCAATTATTTACTCATTTTCACCAAATTCTTATACGTATATGATATTCGATTATTAAAAAACTACCTGTATGACTGATATAATGGTGCTTCCATTGCAGTAGTGTGACCTTCCATCTTAGCCAGATCATTCGCGACCTCCTCCTGCTCCTTGTCTTTACGTTCTAGGTCCTCCTCGTCTTTCTTCTCGATGCAACTAAATGTGTTGTGCCGCGCCCTATCGCTCGGCTTCATCTCGATCAGACCCAGTGTAGTGAATTCGAACTTGGAGATAGTTTCTCGGGGGTCCAAACAGGGAAAGGCCCAGTCAACCTCGCCATCGTCCTCGGTGATGTATAGTCCATAACGCGAAATGTCCTCCCTGAAAGTAACGGCCGGCCGAAACTTCGTGAATAAGGCATGTATGTGCCAGTGATGTAAGGTAGCTTGTTACAGACTTCAAATTATGATCGGGATGTTCACTTGCATATTTGTAGCAAATCAGCCCGATAAAGTCCAACACCCGCGCCGTTGCTGTCACTACCACCTGAAGTGGATACGTCCTTTCTTCCTTTGGCAGCATGCACATGAATATTCTATATTTTCTTACAGGAATGCCTATTTGTGCCTGCAAAGGAATTTCCAAATACTATAAGTTCATTAATATAATTATATTCATTAATAAGTTTTTTTAAAAATAAATACTTATAGTATTTATTTTTAAAAAAACTTATTAATGAATATAATTATATTAGTAATACTATAGGTATATATTAGTAATACTATATAGTAATTAGTAATACTATAAGTTCATTAGTATAATTATATAATATTCAATAATAAATTCTTTTAAAAATAAAAACTATGAAAGTTTAATACCATTATTCCTATTTTTGATATATTTTTTTTTAATGATTTGTAGATAAATTTTTTTTATTAGGACAGAAAACAAAAGAAGCATACGTTGCCGTCAAACTTGACATAATCTTTGAATGGATTCTGTGGTAAATTTGGACATTTTTCAAGTTGTTCTGACAAGAGAGACTGGCCCTTTCTCAGGAATGCTTGTCTACGAAAGTCTTTTCTTTGGAACAATTCTGACTGGTCTACAGGTGTGATAGCATTAAGATTATGCTCCCACTTGACATGTTTAACTTTTGCAGCTTTTTTCCTTTCTATATCCATTTTTTCCAGTCTCTGTGCAGTATTGGATCTCTGTCTGTGACTAAATTCCATGTCTAGAATATTGTAAGCAAAAAATATACATGTATAGATAAGTGCTAAAATAATAATAAATAAAATATAAATCCTATTAAAATTTTAAATGGGTAACTTTTGACTAAATCAATTCTCATATTTTGATTTCAACTTAATAATACTTAGATGCTTTTACAAAATAAAAAATGGATATGTATATACCCATTTGTATGTCGTATGATTCTGCTAGGGCATCCAGATCCTCATCATCGCTATCCTCCATACCAGGATAACATTGCAACGTTCCATTTTCCTTCAACTGCTTGGGAATATCTTCTCCGAGCATTACTATTTCGCACATACCTTCCAAGAATAATATCAATATAATATATATTCACCTCATTTATTTAATTGTTATTAATGTATTATACCAGTAATTGTATTATAGCAACAATGTATCAGGGAGTCTTGAGTCTAATTTCTAATTTAAATCAAATTATTGATTATTTGTGTGACAAACGAAATATTAATATATTAATATATATTTATATAAATATTTGAAATAATGACGTCATCGATGTTTTATCAAGAATTCTTATTATCAGAAATATTCAAAATCAGAAAACAATGTATGTAATTAATATACTGACATTCTAACCTTGGTTTAGGAGACATACCTGTGTCATCCATAGCGAGAAAGCTATCCCTGATGTGCGACAGGAGCCAGTGTTGATTATCGTAAAATGCCATTTCTTTTCTCTCCTTTTTGTCGACCAGATATTACTATGTTGAAAAAAGTCAAAATTCACGTCGAGAGAGATAAACGCGCCACAGAGCGATTCGTCGCGATCGGTCTTTTTATAAATCAAATATCGATTCTCTCTCTCTCTCCATACACATCTGACTACATCACGCACGTCGCGAAATTTGTACTACTGCCCACAGATGGTGTTAACAGAATTTAATATACAAGACGTTCGTCGAATTTGAAATTTCACCAATGAAATATATTTCCTGAGTAAAAGACAGGGTTGATAAAAAACTTGTTTTTTTTTATTTTAAACAAAAGACATTGTTTTTTTTATTTAGAGCAACGTTTTTTGTTTTATTTGTGTTTTTAAATAAAGTAAAAAAACATGTTTTAAACAAAAAAAAACATGTTTTAAACAAGCAAAAAATACTTAATAGCTTTGATCTGTGTAAATATTTAAATTTTTCGCTAGCGTTAAACTGTAAATAACGTTGCCAAAATTGACAACGCTATTAAAAATATAAATAATAAAATAAAAATGATAAGATGGGTATTATTTTAGCAGAATATTTATTTTTGGAGTTATTTATTTTTGGAGAAAAAAAGTTCTAGTTAATAATATTTAATATATAATACATTGGTTCTTTTCCTATTCTTATCAAGTAACCTCATCCATAACTCTCAACATAAATTATAAATAAAAGAAAAATGAAAAACCTCTATTCTTCTTTTTAAAAGAAGAACTTTTTTTTAGAACTACTGACTTGCTATGAGTTGTGTCCTATTAATTTCTAAAATGTAAAATGTAAAGTCAGTCAATATCTTCTAAGTAATCTTTATTGTATTGATTGTTATTTAATATCCAAAAATAAATATTCTGCTAAAATAATACCCATCTTATCATTTTTATTTTATTATTCATATTTTTATATCTATATGTTACACAAATATAGATAAAAAACTAAAAACACTAAAACAAAAACTTTTTTGCAATATACACATCTATCAGTTTTTGTTTGTTTTTGATTTTTTTGACAATTTCTTTTCCAAATAATCATATTTTATTTGCGATATTTTAAACGGTTCTAAACAGTAGTTTAAAACAGTTTAAAACAAAAATGTTTAAAACAGTGTCCACTGTTTTAAACAAGTTTTAATCAAACAGTTTTAAACAAATTGTTTAAAACGTGCCAACCCTGAGTAAAAATGATAAATTTATAACTTTACTTTAATTTATCTCTTAATATGAAAGATTAAAAAATACGTCAAGTACATAAAAAATATATACATATTCTATCTTATATGCAATAAAACCCTAACAACACACATCAAAAGACATCCATAAATATCTAGAGAACAGCCAAAGGATATTTTATGTTCTCTCGATGACCTTTAGACATGTGTGTTGTTAGAGAATGTTTAATGAAAAATGTCCTTAGAAATAATTTACAATAATTTTCCCTCACAAAACCATTTTTCTAAAAAACAAAACCTCAACAAATAACAAATTAATAAATAGATAAAGAAATTAAGGCTCTGTTATGTATTAAAACAACCTTTCTTACAAGAGAATCTCACATCTAAAGGAATATTATTCGAGATAAGAGCTATTAAGAGCCAAGGCGGATGGTAGTGCATGAAATTAAAGGATTAGTAATTCGCGAAAATTAAAACGCCCGATTCAGCGACTTCGCCCCGATATTTTTCTCGTCTACGTCTCTTCAGGGGAGTAAATAGGGGTCTTATAGTGTGTTCTCGAATTGAGAAATCTATATCTTGGTTTTATGCACCAAGTAAAATATAGGCATATGTCAATGATTTTTCAAAAAACGCGTTTTAATTTTCGCGAATTACTAATCCATTAATTTCATGCACTACCATTCGCCTTGGCTCTTAATAGCTCTTATCTCGAATAATATTCCTTTAGATGTGAGATTCTCTTGTAAGAGAGGTTGTCTCAACATATAATTTTCATTAAAAAATATAAAAAAATAAAATATCAATACTAAATAGAAAATCAAATTATTATTAGCCAAGTATCTAAAAGCAATTTGTAAATTTGATATTGATATTTGATTAATATTTGCCATGAAATCAATTTTACATTGTAGAAATATTATACATAAATTCTCCCTAAGAAATTAAAACGTATTTTATATTTATTCAGAGAAACTTGATTTTTAAAATATTTAAAATCAAGACTAAATGAGAATTAGGATTCTTATGATAATATATATTATCATGAATATATTATCATGATAATATATATTATCATGATAATATATATCATGATAATATATATATTATGATATATATTATGATAATATATTATATTATGATAATATATTATAATATATATTATGATAATATATATTATCATGAATATATTATCATGATAATATATATTATCAACATGATAGTACATTGCACATTTATTTATTTTTTATCGTATTACAATAATACGATCGCAGGCTATTGCTATTAAGGATGTACCTATTTTGTACCTATTTTCAAAATATTGAGAATTTAGTGAAAATTGTACAGAATGTCCTTACATATGTTTAGAATCTTCAATACAATTTTTAAATCGATTCACTAAAGCGTGCACAAGTTATAAGGATTTTAATTTTGCACCGAATTAACATATGTTAATTAGGAAAACGTATATTTACGTCATTTAAATGACAAAAATACATTCAGGAAATAATATTCAGAATTTTTTGAAAATTTGCAAAAGTTTAGATATAGAGAAAATATTTGGTCAAATAATATTATACAAGTACTAATTGGTTAAAAAGATAAAATATAATTCAATAAGATTAAATATAATTCAATCAAGTTAGCCATGTATCTGTCACAAGGCAAAATTCTCTACCAAAAGTTAATCATTTTGATTAACAAAATTCGGAATATTTCAGTAAAAACGCAATAAATATTAAAAAATACATCTCTGTTAAGATCAAATTGTAATATTCCACACAATTTCTTACTCAAAATACACCAAAAGTGGATATTTGTCAATATTGATTTTCCTTAATCATCACGTATAAATATTTCGCAAATTGATAATCGCATTTCGTTCATTTATGTTCTCATTATTTGCGCTCATTTTGAAAATAAAATAAACCATGTTTATTTATAACACACATATTTTCTGTATTTCTGTTACATTTTGCATAATTATATAAATGCGTAAAATGTGCGATTATTGTATTTTCAGCATCACATGGCCGCGTCGTATTTAGAGACCACTTCCGGTCCTCATAATTTGGGGGCCATCCGCGATAGTGGTAGCAGCGGCATCAGCGGCCGGAGGGCGATTCTTCAAAATTGCGCCCCAGATCGCCGCAGCCACCCCGCCGCGGGCCCCTTCCTCGGCATCGGTGTTCTTCTTGAAGTTATGGACCGAATAACGGTTGTACAAACCCCAGATACTATTCATCAGCTTACTGTTGTACTTGAGCGGTGTCAGCTCCCAACCTGAGGATAAGCATTTCGTGAAATTCGTCTCAAGATTAATTAACTTCACTTCTTTAAATTAATTGCCAATGCTAATCCCTCAATATGGGAGTCTAATCTGGCCATAACTGGTAATAGAGTATTAATAATCAGCAGCAAGGCCGGATTTATGGGGGGAGGGGGGGCAACAGGGGCTGAAGCCTAGAGGCCTCCACAACACAAATTTTTGGGTAAAATTTCCTATCAAATGATATACAACACTTACAAGGTCTATGTATATTGCTTGACCTTGTTATTTTGCAATAAATTATTTAAACAACGTAAAAATTTCTATTTGATTTTGGTTCAAAAAAGGTTAGGGCTCTCCACCTCTTCGTTGTCCCAGGGCCTCCGCATCTTTAAATCCGGCTCTGATCAGCAGAGTTTCTCACATCAAATAGAGTATAATAAATCAGGGGACATGGGATAAAGAAGAGAGAAGGATGAGGGGAAGGAGTAGGAGGGGGATCGGAGGGCAGCCATATCGCAAAAATAAATTTCTGCCTCAGCGAGACATGAACCTGAGACTCTTCAGACAAGTATCTTGTTGTCTCAGTTACATGCCGTCCCATCAGTAATTAAATAGGTAAGTGCACGAGGGGGAGGGGGGGAATGAAAAGTTTCTTTTTGATTATTAAATTTATAAAAAAGGAAAAACGTCGCGCGAGAATTTACCTTCTAAGTAAGGCCGCGAATTGAATATATTTTCCTTTCTCTCCTCGGTCTTTCCTTTCTCCCCCTTCACGGACATCGAAACAGCACGCTCGTTGTTATCGCGAACTTTGTGCACCGCGATAGCACTTTGCGGAATAGCAGCCATTTTTCCACAATCTGCAACATTTTAGATAACAGAATTGTATCGTTATACTAAAGTACCCCCTGCTATTCTAGACTGATTGTCTGTTTTCTTATTCTATTTAAGGTGAGAATTTAACGAAAGATGGTGAAAGAACTTAATCTTGACATTTACAGAATACACAGTATAAATCTCATATATATCTCATATTATTATTTATTATAAATTAATAAAAATTAATTAATAATAATAAATAATAATAAATTTCGTAAGAAATTCATTTATTATAAATTAATAATATTATTTATTATAAATTAATAATAATTAATTAATAATAAATAATAATAATTAATAATAATTAATTAATAATAAATAATAATAATTAATAATAATTAATTAATAATAAATAATAATAATTAATAATAATTAATTAATAATAATAATAAATAATAATAAATTTCGTAAGATTTTTACTATTCTATTTTTTTCCTGAAATTATTCATTATTAACTGCTTTATAAAGGAGAAAAAATAAGAATCGAAATCTTATTCTTTTAATAAATCAAATCAACACATATATGCGTGTTACGATCCCCTATAGTTATTTATGTCTTGTTTTATCATGCTTTCCGCACTAATCGTCTTGTTATCATTAATAGGTTTGATCTTTATTCCCAACGATAACTGCTAGAAGCTTGCCTCTCTAATATTATTGCTAAAGCATTTTAATATTTTATACTGAAAATTGATGGACTAGGATTGCATGGATATAAAATATGTTTATTCCCACTATTAATTGCACTTATACACTTTATATTTTTTTTCTCTTTGTCGAAAGTTCGAAAATGTACTGATGACTTGTTCTATTTTAATTGCAGACGCAATTGAAACGAACGTTTCAATCGTAAAAGACGCTAACGTTTAAAGATGCACTTAAAATGCGACTATGTTCAAGACGCTCTTCATCAAACGTGGTTTACATTTTTTATAAATCCGACTAACCGATGCAATTTTCGAAGAACAACTCCGTTATCTGCCTTTTCGTGAGTCGACTTTGTCTTGGCAGATTCTTCCACGTGCTCCCTTTCTTCTTGTCTCGCCTCGTAATTTTTCGAGTTTCAATGCTCTGGAAAGTCTCAAGCCTCATATAGTCGTCAGTAATAATAGTCTCAGCAAAATTCATCAACTAAGAAAGAGCTTGTCTTTATTGTCGACGTTTTTGTCGACTCGTCGACAAGAAAGCCACTTCCGTCTTGTGTCCGCTATTTGTGTACGAGACGTCGCATATATGCCTTCAACTAATGCACTAAAGTAATAAGTCAGAGTAATACTGATCTCCGACGCGTCAACGGATCTCTTATAAGCTCGATCGAGGGAAAAGCGAATAAGACAATGAGATAACCAAATAGATAGAAAGAGAGAGAGAGAGATTATTTTTTTTATTTCGTCATTCGACATAATAAGAGCGGGATATCAACGGCCTTCGAGATATTCAATCTGACGTTACCCGACCACCGCGAACTTACTCGACCTTATCTTGGACCAAAGAACAGACACCAAGTTATCTTCCACATAAAATTCTCTAGCCGAGCTCGTAAATTGATCTATTTCATCTATCTGATTTAGTTATAATGATGCAAATATTTAAGGATGTTGTGTATCTATTTTCAAAATATTGAGAATTTAATGAAAATTGCACAGAATGTCCTTATATATGTTTAGAATCTTCAGTATAATTTTTAAATTGATTCACTAAAGCGTTTACAAATTATAAGGATTTTAATTTGCACCGAATTAACATGTGTTCTTATGGAAAACATATAACCACGTCGATTCAAATGACAAAAACACATGGAAATAATATTCAAAATTTGTTTAAAATTTGCAAAAGTTTAGATACAGAGGAAATATTTAGTCAAATAATATTATACAAGTACTAATTGGTTAAAAAGATATTAAATATAATTCAATGAAGTAAGTCATGTATCTGTCACAAGACGAAATTCTCTGCCAAAAGTTAATCATTTCGATTAAGGATGTTTTGTATCTATTTTCAAAATATTGAGAATTTAATGAAAATTGCACAGAATGTATCTTATATATGTTTAGAATCTTCAGTACAATTTTTAAATCGATTCACTAAAGCGTTCACAAGTTATAAGGATTTTAATTTGCACCGAATTAACATGTGTTCTTATGGGAAACGTATAATTACGACGATTTAAATGACAAAAACACATGGAAATAATATTCAAAATTTGTTTAAAATTTGCAAAAGTTTAGATACAGAGGAAATATTTGGTCAAATAATATTATACAAGTACTAACTGGTTAAAAAGATATTAAATATAATTCAATGAAGTTAGCCATGTATCTGTCACAAGGTGAATTTTTCTGCCAAAAGTCGATTACCAAAATTCGGAATATTTCAGTAAAAGTAAGTAAATATTAAAAAATACATCTTTGCACTGCAGTTAAGATCAAATTGTAATATTCCACACAATTTCTCATACTCAAAATACATCAAAAGCGGATATATTCGTCAATATTGATTTTCAGCTACTTTTTGCTGGGATTGTACATACAAAACATCCTTAAAAACGTGTTTAAATAATATTGGAAATACACTTCAAAAACGCGTATATAAATATTCTCTTGCATATTTTGATAATGTTATATCAATGCCCTATTTAATACAAATTATACTTGTTATTGTGAATATGTTGAATTGCTTGTGAACCGTTTAATAGATAAAATCTTTCATTTGTCTGACGTGGGACCACAAACGGAGATTTCTTGCGAAAGAGGGCAATATGTTATCGTAATGAACATAATTATCAAAACGAGACCGAGAATAAGAAATAATATTTGTGCTTTTACTATTACAAATCTAATAACCGATCGCTGCGTATTTTCTCCCTTTCGATAAAAATGTTTTTCATAAGTATTATTCATATAAATCATAATGTGAAAATTTTCAATAAGTCGTTGTAATACTTCAGCAGTAACTTTAAGTGATCTTGCTTATCATAAAATAAAATACAACACATTCGGACTGAACAATTTAATAACTATATATTTAATTTGCAATTGACAAGAAAAAAATTCGAAAAATTAAAAAATTTCATAATTTTATAGAATAAGAAAATACGCAAAAAGAAGAATTTTTTTATAAGAGATATCAGAAAATATTAAGTAAATAATTATAATAACAAATATCACGTTATATTTTTCTTTCAGAATTTTAATTATTTTTTAAATTCGATTATTAATGATATTAATATAACTTTGCTCAAAACATACGAGCAAATTTTTACGAGATAATTATTATATTTATTTTAAATTTTTCATATGAAAGAGATTAAATGCTGACATGTAAACATGCATTAATGCTGATTAATGTTATTTTTGATATGATTTATGAACCTGATTTGCAAGCTGTTTATATAACATAATTACAAAAACATAATTTCATACATTATAACATAAATTCAATAATCATGTGTTAATATATACAAAATATAATTAGTATATAATCGCTTCAATTCTTATAAGTTATGAAACTTTAAGAAATGATCTTCTATTTTTTTAATTTATTTTTTATAAACTATTGAATTGGAATTCTCTCTTTTTATTTATTTTTTATAAACTACTGAATTGGAATTCTTTCTTTTCTGTTTTATATTTATATTATCATTTATATTATATTTATATTATATTTATATTATATCATATTATATTCTTTCTTTCTTCTCTGTTTTATAACGAATAAATTTAACGTATAAATTTAATTAAAATTAAATAAAAAAGTTCCATATTATCCTCAATTAATTTTTTCTTCAATTAATATTGTAAATACATTTGCAATTGTATTTAACTCATTTATCAATATGCTTTACTGCATGTTTACGTACTTATTTTGCTTCTATAGGCTTATCTCACGATATATATATATATATATGTTTTTTAAAATGATTATACAATTAAATCTTCTTGATATAATAACAGTTTCATTCGTTTAAATTATATTATATAAAATTTAACCTGTTCTCGTGTAACTCAGCCGGACTTGAAAACCGAGCAGATAATAATAATAATCGATCGTAGATTGTAGATTGAGATTCGGTTAAATTTTTACAAAAGCAGCATTTCTTTTAAATTGTGCAATATTTGAATATTTATGATTAAGTAGGGAGAGATTTCAAAATTATGAAATAAAAATCTAAATAATTTTTGACGAATAATTTAATAATCGCTTTTGTCAAAAATTAATTTTGATCTGTATTTATATTGCTTCATGTTTATATAAATTCACTTTTTCTATGTAATTAATGATCAGATCAAGGATATTATTCAATTAAAACAATGTAATATCAATGTAATTTCTTCCAAAAAATTTATACTGATAAAATTATATAAAGTATATAATAAAAAACTATAGTTAATAATAATTGTGAAAAATTTTACATATAAAAAGATATTACATTAAATACATAGTTATAGCGATAGTTCAAGATCTGTTTTTGACGAGAAAAATACAAACAATAAAATCTCGCATAATTAGCGTAATTAATTCTTATCATAATCATGTGACCAATTTGGCTTTTTCTTTTCCAAAAAGCTTCGTATTCCTTCCTGTGCATCTTTCATTTTTAGATTGTTCACCATTTTTTCAGCGCCGAGAAAATACGCCGTTGATATATCGAGATCCATTTGTTCGTATAAGAATGTTTTGCCAATGTGTACAACTGAACGACTCTTCGCGTTGATCGCATCTGTAATTTGACGGACTTCCTCGTCTAAAATCAAAGAAAATCATTCAAGTGTAAAATTTATTAGTTAAACGCAGTAGTTGATGACTCACCGAGCTTATCATTCGGCACGACTTTGCTAACGAGACCATACTCGTAAGCTTCTCTGCCGGAAATAGGGAGTCCAGTGAAGAGCATATACATCGCGTTTTTCCTTGGCATGTTACGCACTAGAGGTATGCCCGGGGTCGAGCAAAATATCCCGATATTTGCCCTGTAAAAAGCATTATTTATGTGCAAATAAAAATTAACAATAAATTAATAATATAATGAAATAATGAGAACAAATAAATTAACAATACCGATAATACCAATAATAAAACTGGTGATTTTTACAGGATAATAGGCAAAAGGATAATAAGCAATAAGACGAGCTATTTTTGCAAAATACCCTGGAGTGGAAAAGGAACTTCTTTCCGTGCATACCGCGATGTCACATGCCGCGACCAATTGACAGCCAGCTGCAGCTGCCAGACCGTCCACTGCCGCGATCACTGGCACTGGACTCTGACTAATGGCTCGCATCAATTCTGCACAGGTCTCAAACACTTCCTTGTGGAACTTAGCGTTTATAACTGTCTAAATCGCAAGCTGATGATTTTCTTACACGATGAATATAAAGAAGTCTTATGGAAGTATGATTCTACGAACCAGTTCCTTCAAGTTATGTCCGGCGGAAAACATTTTTTCAGAGTCGGACATCAGTAAAATCGATCGAAGATCCTTGTTATCCTTGTCCCTTTTTATCTCTCTTAGCAGACTCCTTAACATCTCCAACGATAGGGAGTTACACGAGGCAGAATCGCTTAAACGGATGGTTCTGACCTGAAATAAGGTGAAACTAACAATATCTAGTAAAAGTAAATAATGTCTATAATAAGTAAAAATTATTAAAATTAAAAATATTAAAATTAAAATTAAAAAATTATGAAAATTATTAAAATTAAAAATATTAAAATTAAAATTATTAAAATTAAAAATTATTAAATTAAAATTTTTCTCTCTCTCTTAAGATACTTTTAATCAGTGTTTGCTGGTATCTAGATAAAGAAATGGATTATCTTTATCTTTAACTAGATAAAGAAATACAAAGTATCTTTATCTTTATCTTAGATGAAAAATATGTGTCATCTTATCTAAAAATTGTCTAAGATGACGTTTTCATTATGCAAAAAAGTTTTCCAGGCAAGCTTCTAAAAATCTATCTAAAATATCTAAAATATATTTTTTATATTATTATTATTAATGTATTATAAATATATTATAAACATATTATAAATATAAATTAATAAATAAATATTTATCATTTATATACCTTTTGCTATTATTTCTTTATAATACTAAATATTCTTTAGGAAAAGAGAAAGAATATGTGTTTATGATTTTAATATCCCATTTATAATCTGCGTCACAGTTTTTACAAATATTTATAATCTTCTAAAATAAACAAAAATATCTAGATAATTATCTAGATTATCGCAATAATTATTTCATCTTTCACCTAGATTAAGTAAAAGCAAAATCATCTTTATCTCATCTAAGATAAATTTACAAATTTTTATCTTTATCTTTATCTAGATAATTTTGAAATTATCTACAGCAAACACTGCTTTTAATTAATAAAAATCAGATTAAATTTATATAATGTATAATAGTTTAAATTATATTTCCTAGAGTAAAAGAAAATAGCATTTATAATTAAAGAAAAATTAAAGATAAATAGTATAATATCTTCACCCCATCTCTTTCCGTCGTCTGTACATATTTCTTCTCTGTAGATAACGTTCTTGTAATATTTAGTCCCTGAAACATTCGACGATAAAATCACTAATAATGTAATATAATAATATTATTAATATTATTAATTAATGATATAAAATCTTATAAAAGCTTGCTTTTGCGCATCACTTAAATTATTTCCGCTGATTCGTGCTGTTATCATTCGAGTTGATTCAAGCCAATATCTTCGATTAAACACGACTTTTAAGAGGCATTTCACTTGGCGTTACGAAGACTTCGAATCGTTTTGATTCAAACACTTTGAAGCATTTGTAATGTCAAGTGAAATATATTTTTCACGAACAAAATAAAAATTTTGTGATATGCACAACAATATATGTAGCCATAAATAATCAGAGTTGTATATATAATCAATAGTTATAAATACAATTGTTAAATAATTATATAGTTTGCATAAATTAAGCATATATAATTGAAGTACCTGAGAAACAGTGGGACTATTTTTGATCAAGAATCTCCAGGTGGCTATCATTTTGTTACGATGCTGTACCTTATTCCATTTAACGATATAAGCCAATCAAATAGATATATCACGCACGTGAAACTCGATGCCGATTGACATTAATGCCACTTGGTCCAAAGTAAAGCGGTTATCGTTGATAAAGGTTAATTATCATTATGATGATAAGTGACGTATTATTTAGTCATAAGCCCGCGAAATTTCAAGCGAGAAAAATAATACCTCTTAAAATTAAAGTTTGTGTTATCAATAAAATTTGAATAATGAAAGTAGAAAATACAATCTCGAAAATGATAGCTTTTTCACAAACATCTTAAAGAAGATTTTCATCTCATTCAATTTAATATACGTTTTATATATTATTTAACATTCTTGAATATCACAGCTTTAAAAATTACAGAATATTTATCATCTGTACCTGTTATAATTCTTCTTAAACATGTTCGCAATTTCTTACGATTTCATAAAATATATATAAATGTATTATGGTAAGAGGGAAAGGTAGGTGTATTATGTTACCGTTCTTTAGACTAATATATACACATGTTGTGACGTATGCATACCGATCAGCTGACACCTACGGAATGATTTGAATTAACAGTTTAAATACGTTTTTTAAATGACAGATGTCAAAGTCTGACAGTCAGCACGTGACATACATATTCTTTTTGGAAAAAGGAATAAATATCAAAAAAAAAAAATAGGCATACATTAGCGTGATAATGATAGTAATAATTGGAAATAAAAATATTAGAGAGATGTATCCGTTTTATAAATTTTCTGTAAATAAAAACACATTTCCTGGCATGAAAAGTATTAATATAAGGTTAGGTTAGGTTAAAACCGTTAAAAATACCTGAAAAATATTAATATAATATAAGGTTAGATTAAGTTAAAACCGTTAAAAAATTGTTTAATTGTTATATTCCAGTATTTACTTGAAAAGGACCACAACCACATGGTCGAAACGTCGTAATCAATAAACAAAAAATTTCTGGCTAGTTTAATCGATTATATTATTTCCAACGATTCTTTGATTAATTGATTAGCGATATTAAGGTAATTTATGTTATTATATATATAATATAGTTCTATTCTTTAAATTTCAATTTCTTCCAAATATTCTGATTAATCATTAATTAATTTTTCTAATTTTAAAAGCATACAATTTTTTTATTAATATACATAATCTGTATTTTGAAGTTCAAAGCAAATTCGAAAATTTTTTTAAACGTCGTTTTTCAATTTTTTAAATTTTGCATAAAAGAATGATAGAAAAATTTCTAATTCCTAATATTTTTAACAGAAAGATTTTGTTATTTCAGATTTAAATGAAGAATAAAAAGGTTGGAAAGGGTGCATAATCCCTACTTCGAACTACGGAGAAGAGCTCGATGACGCATGGTATGCGTTCCCATAACGACCAGTGTTTCCCTTAGCGACTAACATGGCTGAAGCCGAGGGTAAGTACGTCCGAGTGTGCATCGTCGCGTGTATATTTACGACGAGTGAACGATAACACGACGAGAGATCATCGGTCCTGCTTACTCCGCGACTTTCCGCGTCATCGTCGTCGCCGTTCGTTTCCGGCGCGCTCTTTCCACGGGCTCCGTCTATTCTAATTATAGGATAAACAGTGTGACCGCGGTCACCGGCGCACAGTTACAAGAAATATTATAGGAAACTACTTCGGTGCAGGAGCTATCGACCTCTATTTCGTAATAAGGAACGACTTTAGGACGGATTTTGAAAGTGCACGTGGTGAAAGCGGACGTGAGCAACATGCATGTGGTAGATAATCACAATATGTGCTATGGTTTTAATTATTTTGCATACGGCTTCTTTTTATTTGAATTTGTTTTAATATTTAAAAAAAAATAAAAATATTAATATATTATGTAAAAATTTCCCTTTTGTTTTAGTTTGATTACTTAAGGATGTTTTGTATCTATTTTCAAAATATTGAGAATTTAATGAAAATTGTACAGAATGTCTTTACATATGTTTAGAATCTTCAGTACAATTTTTAAATCGATTCACTTAAAGCGTTCACAAATTCTAAAGATTTTAATTTCCATCGAATTAACATGTCTTTTTATAGGAAACGTATAACTACGTCAATTCAAATGACAAAAACACATGGAAATAACATTCAGAATTTGTTTAAAATTTGCAAAAGTTTAGATACAGAGGAAATATTTGGTCAAATAATATTATACAAGTACTAACTGGTTAAAAAGATGTTAAATATAATTCAATGAAGTTAGCCATGTATCTGTCACAAGGTGAAATTCTCTGCCAAAAGTTAATCATTTCGGTTAAGGATGTTTTGTATCTATTTTCAAAATATTGAGAATTTAATGAAAATTGTACAGAATGTCCTTACATATGTTTAGAATCTTCAGTACAATTTTTTAATCGATTCACTAAAACATCACAAGTTATAAGGATTTTAATTTACACCGAATTAACATGTGTTCTTATGGGAAACGTATAACCACGTCAATTCAAATGACAAAAACACATGGAAATAATATTCAGAATTTGTTTAAAATTTGCAAAAGTTTAGATACAGACGAAATATTTGGTCAAATAATATTATACAAGTACTAACTGGTTAAAAAGATATTAAATATAATTCAATGAAGTTAGCCATGTATCTGTCACAAGGCGAAATTCTCTATCAAAAGTTAATCATTTTGATTAACAAAATTCGGAATATTTTAGTAAAAACGCAATAAATATTAAAAAATACATATCTGCACTGTAGCTAAAATCAAATTGTAATATTCCACACAATTTCTTACTCAAAATACACCAAAAGTGAATATATTCGTCATTATTGATTTTCAGCTATTTTTTGCTGGGATTGTACATACAAAACATCCTTAAAATTTATCCATAATTTATGTTAGAAATAATGCAAAGGAAACTGTACGTCGGGAGAAATATTTGTATATAAAAATCGTTACTACATTTGATTCAACTTATCTATCAATTATATGTTTTAAAATAAGTAACTAAAAATTAATGACTCTCTTTAATTTTAATTTATATTTGACGTATGATAGTATTTATATTTGAAGTATGATAGTAGATTATAAACAAATAACAGTTATATAACTGTTAGTTATAATTTCCCACTTAACAATATAACAATATAACAATATAACTATTACATATTATGTAACAGTTATATTGTTACATGTTACATAACTGTTACATATCATGTAACAATTAACAATTAACATAACATGCAACAGTTATATTGTTGAGTGAGAAATGACAACTAACAATTATATAAATGTTACTTGGTGTTTAATAAATGGGATAAAATTTAAACTAAAATATTTAATACACACATACTGTGTCATCTATTTATTAGAGATTGAATATTTTTTTCCATCTCACACACACACTTTGCAATATTTACTTTGTTGCACGGCGATGCGCAGTTGGGTGTACTAATGAAAGAAGGCGAGATTCACACTTTGTGAGTCGGTGATGGGACCGAAAATAAACCTCGCGATTACAACAGTTGTAAGAGCGCCACTCTTACTAGAGCCGGCTTGGCTCGCACAGCCTCTCAGTCGGTGACTTGATGCGCTCGCAATCAGATGCTGTGCTGCGTCCCGAAGAGTCTCGCGGACGGAGATCCGTTCCACGACGAGGCCTCGTTCCATGACGAGGCCTCGTTTCACAACGAGGATCTTTTTCACGACGAAGCTCCGAATAAGACATCACTATCTATTTGCGAAACATGGGTCAAACTATATCCTGAAGAAGGTGAGCCCGCAAACTCGTCTGATCAAGCATCGATTTCACGGTATCGTTAATTTCTAATTGGATTATCGAATCGTACAGTTATTTGAATCTTGTAAAAATCGTCGAATCAAAAAGAATAGAAATTAATTTATTCTGGTCTCACAATCTCACAAAGTGTATTTCTCGATAAGAATAAGGAATTCAGGCTAAAGACTCGTATAATTTGACAAAAATGTTAAAGTTTTATCAAATAAGTATATTTCATACAGATCAAATTTCCTTATGGAATTTAATGTAGTTTGAAATTATTAAGTTTATCGTGTGTATTATATTCAGATCGTCATGTAGATGTTTGTTTACATTTGAATAGATACACATACATTGAATGTACTCTCCAAATCAAAATAAAGCAAAGATAATCGATTAGAGTACTATGTTATTATTGTTATATAATTACAAAAAAAGAGAGAAAAATCGCTTTTACATAAAAATATCTTATTTTTTGGAAATGTTAAACTCGACAATATAATGTAATAACTTGTAATTTTTTCTTACGCAATTTTATATTTAAAAATAAATTGCGTATCGACTATTACTACGACTATTATCGACAATATTTCAAATTAACAAAGTAGCTTCAACAACTTAGCACAATTATTACTACACAATTATTATTATCGTTCTTTTAACAAAATAATTAATCAATTTTGATAGATTTATTTCTTGCTTCATGTTAGATAACGCTATTGAAATATTTATTTTCCTTCTTCTCGCTCGTCTAAAAGTGGCTATAAGAATTGTAATAACGCACCTCCGCCGTGCATACTAATCAATTTACGGCTTAGTAAATGCATTAAAAGTCTCGTCGACCTTAGACAACGCGAGAAGAAACGGTAATAGCTTACGTGGAAAAAAAACTCTGCCTGTTCTTTCTAATACATGCGCGACTCGTTTAGAAGAGCAAACGTAAGCAAAACAGTCGTTTGTGGGCGTCGTTAAGCAGCTTCGAGACGGAATGAGATCATTTAATAACATCACGATGTTTGTTCTCGCATGAAAATTGAGGAGAGCGTCGTCGTTCCCTAGCTTCAGTGTTTGCTGTAGATAATTTCAAAATTATCTAGATAAAGATAAAGATAAAAATCTGTAAATTTATTTTAGATGAGATAAAGATGGTTTTGCTTTTACTTAATCTAGATGAAAGATGAGATAATTATTGCGATAATCTAGATAATTATCTAGATATTTTTGTTTATTTTAGAAGACTATAAATATTTGTAAAAAGTGTGACGCAGATTATAAATGGGATATTAAAATCATAAACACATATTCTTTCGTTTTTCCTAAAGAATATTTAATATTATAAAGAAATAATAGCAAAAAGATATATAAATGATATGATAAATATTTATTTATTAATTTATATTTATAATATATTTATAATATATTAATAATATATTAATATATTAATAATAATAATATAAAAAATATATTTTAGATATTTTAGATAGATTTTTAGAAGCTTGCCTGGAAAACTTTTTTGCATAATGAAAACGTCATCTTAGACAATTTTTAGATAAGATGACATATATTTTTCAGATATTTAGATAAGATGACATATATTTTTCAGATTTTTAGATAAGATGACATATATTTCCAAGATAAAGATAAAGATACTTTGTATTTCTTCATCTAGTTAAAGATAAAGATGATTCATTTCTTTATCTAGATGATTATCTAGATAATTTTATCTAGATACCAGCAAACACTGCCTAGCATTAAAAAAATGTGAAGTTGAATATTAAAAAATAGGAAGAAATAGGAAAAGGGATTGATAAAAATTAATAAAAAATGTAAAATAAGCGAATAAAAAATTAGTATAAATAAAACGTGTAGGTATTTGTAGAATTTTAAAAAGATAACGCTGAATTATAATGAGTGCGTTACGGTATAAAGTGTACACGAACGAAGGCAAACGCGCTGACCCACATTTCCGCCACGCACTTAGCGCTAAACGTGGGTATCTCGCTCGGTGTTGACATTGGAGGCGACAATAAGAGATCGTGTGTTTAAGATACTAACGTTCCTGAAATAATTCAATGATTTGTATGCAATCGGGAAAAGAATAAAGGTCCGATCGCTCCGAAAACACAGGCGGTAAAAAGCCTCGTCCCTTTTGAAGAGAGAATCGGAGAACGGAAGGAACGCTCCGTTCGGATAGGAAGACGAGATTCGCGTTCTCCGCAATTGCCGAGGCACCTCGTGGGACGCCTAAAAAAGGAAACTTGCCCATCCGTAGGCGAGAGAGCCGAGTCTCTCGCGGGGGCGACCCTCGTCGGCATCGGCGCCGCAGGTGTCCGCGATCTCCACCTTTGAGTGCACCTTTGAGTCGATCGCTTAATCCTTCTCTGGAATTGAAATGAATAAAACTGTCATCGCGGATGTCTTTGAATAAGAGATATCATTCCTTGGATAAGGAACATTGAATGAAACGCGCTTCGCGCAATGAGACCTGAAGGAGTGATGCATCATCGTGCGGAGAGTTTAGTTACTTTGTGCAATTTTGTGTTTGTGCCGTTTACAAGGGATGCAAACCAGGGTTGGCATGTTTTAAATAATTTAAATAATGTGTTTAAAACTGTTTGAAACTTGTTTAAAACAGTGGCATGTTGGCACAGTGGACACTGTTTTAAACATTTTTGTTTGAAACTGTTTTAAACTACTGTTTAGAACCGTTTAAAATATCGCAAATAAAATATATGATTATTTGGAAAAGAAATTATAAAAAAATCAAAAACAAATAAAAACTAATAGATGTGTATATTGCAAAAAAGTTTTTTGTTTTAGTGTTTTTAGTTTTTTATCTATATTTATGTAACATATAGGTAGAAAAATATAAATAATAAAATAAAAATGATAAGATGGGTATTATTTTAGCAGAATATTTATTTTTGTATATTAAATAACAATCAATACAATGAAAATTACTTAGAAGATATTGACTGACTTTACATTTTACATTTTAGCATTTTAAATTAATAGTACACAACTCATAGCAGGTCAGTAGTTTTGAAAAAAAGTTCTTTTAAAAAGAAGAATTGAGATTTTTTATTTTTCTTTTATTTAGAATTTATGTTAAGAGTTAAGCATGAGATTACTTAATAAGAATAGGAAAAGAACCAAAGTATTATATATTAAATATTATTAACTAGAACTTTTTTTCTCCAAAAATAAATAACTCCAAAAATAAATATTCTACTAAAATAATACCCATCTTATCATTTTTATTTTATTATTTATATTTTTAATAGCGTTGTCAATTTTGGCGACGTTATTTACGGTTTAACGCTATGAAAAATTTAAATATTTACACAGATCAAAACTATTAAGTGTTTTTTGCTTATTTAAAACATGCTTTTTTTGTTTAAAACATGTTTTTTTTACTTTACTTAAAAACACAAATAAAACAAAAAACATTGTTCTAAACAAAAAAAAACAATGTTTTTGGTTTAAAATAAAAAAAAAACAAGTTTTTTGCCAACCCTGATGCAAACTCGTTGTCTTCCTAAAGTTGGCGATGCAAGATGAAAAATATTGCAAGAATCTATCGATTCGCGTCATCGAAACTCGCATGAGGAAAAATGAGGAAACGTAAGACTTACGCCACTTTTTAAAATTGAATGGCTCATTGATTGATTATCTCGTGTAACGCATAACTTGTAATAACTAGGGCGTTCTCGAGACGATCTCGCAAGAAGAGAATACTGTAGCTATCGTTGTGCAATTCCCGCGGCCATCGAAGAAAGTGCAATTTGCAATTTAGATTCGCGACTCTTCTAATCGCAACATCGTATTGTATTGTATTGTACCGTCAAGTTTCGCGTTTTTACGAGTGAGAACAAAAGTGAGAGTATTTTAGCATCACAAAATACTTAAAGAGAGAGGAGAGACAGATCGTACATTAAAATATAATTAAAATTATGGAATATATAATATTAAAGAATTTTTCAACAGACTCTCTACAGGGTGTCCCATTTAACGAATCAGCTGTTAATAGATTTCTGAGATCATTTGGAAATGAAAATATTAATACCAAAATGTTGAGGAAGATGTAGTTTCGACGACATAAAAGATTAAAGATTACCAATCGCGTTATGTTTTTCCGTGTTTAGGAACATAGTGCATCAAGGAGCCCGCGTATATCAATATAAAATAAAAAATAGGATTCTACAGTGAGTGCACTGAGAAAAATCGTTTGATTGTATCAACAAGATGATTGAAGGCATTTTGGTTAAAGCAAACAAGAATTTCTAGTTATCATGATAAGACTCGATTTTTTATAAGTAGAACATTTAATAGATTTTACTACAAGGATTTGGTTAGTATTTTCTGGTTGAATCTATAAAATTTCTTGTTACATTAATTTTTTTGCTTGCCGCTAGGCTGCGAGCCACTCTTAACCTAACTCCTATTCAATATTTGCCATGAAATGTATATAAAGAACTAGTATTAATATTAAATCCAAAGTATATTTTTTCCTCTTACGAGCAGTAGTGCCAGAAAGAGGACTAGTTCTCTGATTATATGTGTTTGAGCTGCATCCTCTTCTTGCATCACTGTTTGTCAGTTTAATTTCTAATAAACTGAATTTAAAATAATTTATTCAATAATCTGGATTGAATTGATCCAATAATCTTGTTGGAATTCAGAATATTAAACAGACTTTTGAGATTAGATGGAAAAAAAATTTTAGACTAGTTGGTGCTGGTGAGTTTAATATTATTAACCAGAAAATTTAGTAAATTTAACAGGAAGAAATTAATCAGATTCATCTGGTAATTCCTACAAGAATTCTGGTTCGTCTATTTTCCAACAGACATATTGGTTGAATCGACCAGAATTCTAATTAATGCAACCAGATTTTTTCTCAGTGCACTGTTTATCAATTTAATTTCTAACGAATTGAATTTAAAATAATTTATTCAATAATCTGGATTGAATTTATCCAATAATCTTGTTGGAATTCAGAATATTAAACAGACTTTTGAGATTAAATGGAAAAAAAATTTTAGACGACTTGGTGAGTTTAGTATTATTAACCAGAAAATTTGGTAAATTTAACAGGAAGAAATTAATCAGATTCATCTGGTAATTCCTACAAGAATTCTAATTCGTCCATTTTCCAACAGACATATTGGTTGAATCTACCAGAATTCTAATTAATGTAACCAGATTTTTTTCTCAGTGCACTGTTTATCAGTTTAATTTCTAAAGAATTGAATTTAAAATAATTTATTCAATAATCTGGATTGAATTTATCCAATAATCTTGTTGGAATTCAGAATATTAAACAGACTTTTGAGATTAAATGGAAAAAAAATTTTAGACGACTTGATGAGTTTAGTATTATTAACCAGAAAATTTGGTAAATTTAACAGGAAGAAATTAATCAGATTCATCTGGTAATTCCTACTAGAATTCTGATTCGTCCATTTTCCAACAAAACATACTGATTGAATCTACCAGAATTCTAATTAATGCAGCCAGATTTTTTTCTCAGTGCACTGTTTATCAGTTTAATTTCCAACGAACTGAATTTAAAATAATTTATTCAATAATCTGGATTGAATTTATCCAATAATCTTGTTGGAATTCAAAATATTAAACAGACTTTTGAGATCAGATAGAAAAAAAATTTAGACAAGTTGGTGCTGGCGAGTTTAGTATTTTTAACCAGAAAATTTGGTAAATTTAACAGGAAGAAATTAATCAGATTCATCTGGTAATTCCTTCTAGAATTCTGATTCGTCTATTTTCCAACAAAACATACTGATTGAATCTACCAGAATTCTAATTAATGCAACCAAATTTTTTTCTCAGTGGCGCGATTGTGTCTTCGATGCGACAGTAGTTTGAACATTTTTATAAAGTTTAATCTTTTGTAGCGCCAAAGCTATATTTTCCTTAACATTTTAGTATTAAGATTTTTGTTCCCAAAATTATCAGAGGAATCTACCATTAACGGGGTTGATTCATTAAATCTGGGACACTGTGTATATTTACATTTTCGAAAGAATTAGATTTTTAGAAAAATTAGATCTCATAGATTTTTAGAAAAATTAGATCTCATAGATTTTCTCTAAATCCATGAAATATAGATTTTAAATTAGGTTTTGATTGTGTGTATGTTTTTAATAATTTGCTGCAATGACGAGCACGTGTTTCACACTCACACCATCTCGCACGTGTCTAACGCCTGCGCGCGTGCACATTATGACGTATATCTGTTGTCGTATTTGGCGATCTCTCGACGTGTTGTCGGCGAAAATATCGATTATTCGCGGATTCGTGGCCTTTGTCAGAATGAATTACGATTAACAACAGGGGTGAGTCAGATCGAATTTCCATATGACAGGTATAAATTTCGCGGAATCACATTTATGTACACTAACCAAGTGACCAACTAACTAACTTTGGCGTCCTCTGACATTTGTGAAAAAAATAAAAGATATATATAATATTTGACGGGAAAGAGACGCCTCGTTCACGTGGCACTTTAATGACAGAACAAATCTAGATGTGCGGAGAAATAAGACGCAATCGCTGAGCAAGGTTGAAGTTTGCGAGCCCTTGATTCATCTTAAAAAATAAATAAATAAATAAATAAATAAATAAATAAATAAATAAATAAATAAATAAATAATATTTATCATTATATCTCGTGGTCGCGAGAACTTGAAATCACGGGGACTCATTAATCGCTGGACATTGTAAATGGACGCAGATGCGCCGCCGCCGATTCTGTTGCCTTGCGCGATCTGCGCGCGGACTTTCATGCCGCAGTCGTTGGAAAAACACGCGAGGATATGCGAACGCGCCGCTGCCAAGAAACGCAAACCCTTCGACTCGGCTAAACAGAGGATCCAGGGTACCGAGTTGGCTGAGTTTCTGCCCAAACAGGAGCCCCGGCGACATCACCAGGACGAGAAGACCAGATCCTCCTGGAAGAAGACCCACGACGATTTCCTGCGAACCATCCGCGAGGCGCGCGGCGAAGTTGTGAGTCTGATTTTCTCTATTATAATCCTTTCAAAGAACGTCTTCTTCGATTAATTCAATTTTAAATCAAACACAGTCTGGATATTCACACGAATTGTTATTCCTTCAAATTACTTTCGCACTAAAAGATGTAACAAAATGATCTCAAACAATATGTTACATAATTTCTTATTTTACGGTTTATGTGAGATGAAATAGTTGTCATTTTTTTCGATATAATTTATTTTTATAGATGGACTCGAGTAATAAACAATGCTATTCACTGAGCTCCTCGGGTGCGCCGACTCGCGCCAATGAGAAGGGCACGTGTCTCACGTGCAATCGACAATTCGGTATCAAAGCCTACGACCGTCATGTCGCCTGGTGCAAAGATAGGATCACTCGGATGCCGGTGAGTCCGGCGACAAATTTGGCGAAGGAGCGATTGGAGGCGCGCATGAGATATAAAGCACCAGTCATGAAGAATCGGCGAGCTATCACTCGAGAAAAGTACAGCCCGAGCTCGGCGGTGAACCAAGGTGCCAAGACCTCTGTGTCGTCGCCGGCTCTCGTCAAATCGAAGGAAAGTGTCTCGGTGACCAATGGCAGTCGACAAAGTCCAATGAAACAAAAACCAGTTGTCGTGTATGTTTCTCAAGATTTTCTTATTAGTTTCTCACCGAATTTCTTCTCTTGTAAAAAGAAACTTTATAATTAAGGATGTTTTGTATGTACAATTCCAGCAAAAAGTAGCTCAAAATGATCAATATTGACGAATATCCATTTTTGGTGTATTTCGAGTATGAGAAATTGTGTGGAATATTACAATTTGATCTTAGTTACAGTGCAGAAATATATTTATTGTGTTTTTTAAACGCAATAAATATTAAAAAATAATAATAATATAATAAAAGATAATAATAAATTTAATATTTATTGCGTTTTTGAAATTGAAATATTTCGAATTTTGTTAATCGAAATGATTAACTTTTGGCAGAGAATTTCGTCTTGTGACAGATGCATGGCTAATTTCATTGAATTATATTTAATATCTTTTTAACCAGTTAGTACTTGTATAATATTATTTGACCAAATATTTCCTCTGTATCTAAACTTTTGCAAATTTTCAACAAATTCTGAATATTATTTCCATGTGTTTGTGTCATTTGAATCAACGTGGTTATACGTTTCCTATAAGAAAATGCAAATTAAAATCCTTATAACTAGTGAACACCTTAGTGAATCGATTTAAAAATTGTACTGAAGATTCTAAATATATGGACATTCTGTATAATTTTCATTAAATTCTCAATATTTTGAAAACAGGTACAAAACATCCTTAAATATTATATACGCTCAAATGAAACATAGACTTTTGTGGAACAACGGCTTTAGTCCAATCGTTTCAATCAAATGTATCTAATAATAATATAAAAATATAATGTAAAGTTTTATATATCTTATTTTCTATTTTAACTAATTTGATTCGATAATGTGATTTATTATATTTATGTTTCATGTAGGAAACGTCCTGGACAGCTCAAGGAATCTCCTATCTCATCTGGACCTATGAAATCGCGCCTCATCGATCGCACAAACAAGTAAGATTTTAATCTCTTAATTTTATTATTTTCATTTTTTCAAAAGAGCTAATTTTTTCTTCTTTAATTGTATATAAAATAAAACAAAATAAGATAAGAATATCTAGGATAAGCCCTATATCTATAATGTCGCCCATGAGGAGAAGGGAAAAGGATGAGGCTTAAAAGCACTCTGTGATAAATTATAAAAATATAATTTAAATATAATTTTTGCAGGGGATGCAAATTTATAAAAATATTCGAATTTAATATTCGGTGTAGCATGAATACATATTTAGAACAAAGTTTTCCATGCAATTGTCTATCGTAAAAAATAAAATTTTTAATTATTTAATTCCTCGACGACCTTCTCCTGATGATTATCAGGCGCACATCCTTGATCCTGGTCCTTCCTTCTCCTCAGGCCAGCGGAAGATCATGACATATTGACATCAACGTCGTATCGATCCTCTCATTTCTCTTCCCGTCGTCCTCTTCACTTTCCTGTATCTCCTGCGAAATCCAGAATTAATTCAGATTCAGTCTCCTCCAACGAGATCACGTCACCTACCACCTCGTTGAAGAAACAACCTGATCGAAACGAAACAATCTCCCAACGCATTCCAAACGAAACGAGAAATCATGAAAGCTGTTCTACCAAGACACAGAAAAATATTGTTTCCGCCAGGAGTCAAGGCCATCCGACGATTAATGATATCGCTGTGAACGATAAGACTCTAGGCGTGACTGTCCAGCCTTACAGAATACACACGGATGCAATACAAAGGGACAATCAATTAGTAACATGGAAGCAGATTAGTCACAAAAAGAATAATCTTCAGTGTAACTCTGCTGCCAGTTATAGTTTTTCGCCAGAGTTTCAGCTGGTCAATCTCGATCGAGAAAACGAAATTGACACGGTTGAAAAAGAAGATGGAACCGAAAAAGAATTGTTAATCACAAAGAACGACTTTACACAAGTCAACGACGAATTAAAAGACAGCGAGGTTGATAAATTGAAGAGTAACAAGCTCAAATGGTTAAATGGTATTCAAAATCTGAATCAGACTTACTTGATAAAAGACTCAGAGAATATATATAACGAATCGCCGGAGTTTCTTCACAGTAAACGGAAGCTGATTAAACATAGCCCTCGTGTAGAGTTTTTCTTTAAGCATAGAGAAGACGAAAATGAATTTAATAAAACGAAATCGGACAGAAAAATTAGAGCGAATGACGAAGAGATTAGAACAATAAAGCAAGAGTTAAAAATAAATATTGAAAATAAAGAAGATACCGAGACTGAAGTAATGGAGTATAAAGTAGAAAAATTAAAAACAAATACCGAATATGGGAAAGATAATGGGAAAGTGGATAATAAAGAGGATGAAGTGATAGAGTGCAAATTAGAAAAATTTAATATCGATATTAAGGATAAATTGATTGATGTAGAGGATAAAGTTGCAAGTCAGGCAGTTAAAAAATTAGAAGTGAAAATCAAAGATAAAAAAGGTTCTCAGAGAATGGATGATACAAACATTACAGAATTCGATACATTAAGCGTAAATAAAGAAGATGAAAAAGATAAACAGATAGCGATAGGTAGTGAAATTATTGAGAATATTAAGTATATTAGAATAGAAGAAAACGAGCAAATTTTATCGGATTTTGATGAACATATTCAACTTTCGCAGAAGGAATCTTTTAAAAAATTTAAAATAAATTCCACCGATTGTAATAATGATTTTATCTCGGATCTTTTTCAAAACTTCTTTGAAACGTCTTCGTCGAAAGACGAAGATCCAACGTTTCATATCGACGATAAAAATAATTTAACATTTTCAGACGACTTCATTAATCACACTCAAGATGATTATCTTAAAAATGAAATACTACAATACGAAAATGACACATGTTGCAATTTATTAAAATTACAGGAAAACGCGGCAGTTTTCATGTGCGATCAATTTGACATAAATAATATTTCTTTAAACAGTTGCAGTGAAAGTAATGTAACATGTTGCAATTCATTAAATTTAACAGAAAATACCATAATAATATCATCTTCCGTATCCAGTCGAGCTATTAGTCCAGAAAAAGATTCTACAAAAAATATTGAAACTACAAAGAATGCTGAAGCAACTGATCCAAATGAAGAAATGTGTGAAAATGATTTAATTATCCTTTATAATAAGAACTCTGAGAGAAATTTAAAACAGTTCAACTCTGAAATATCGCTTTTACAAAATTCGAAAATACTTGCCAATGAATTAAATGCATGCACAAATAACATACCTCTACAAAATGGGAAAACAGATTATTTCAACGCAGGTACAGATAGGTGTTCGAGTGATAAATCAAACCACTCGATTATTAAAACGGAAGTTACGAGCGAAGATTTGCGCAAGAAAAACATCGACAATATATACAACGATGAATTTAACTATGGTAGCGATAATATCGTTGGAGAACATAACACGCGAGCCGCTAATGATTTAGTGTCATCAGTCACGTTGAAGGACAATGTCGAGTATCGACGCGACGAAACTTTCCTAAAAGCGAACGTAAATTTTTCAAACGGCGTTTCCAATTCGACTAGAAGAGCCACGAAAGAGCGTCCAATAAATTCGGATGAGATAAAACACAAAATCAGAGAAAGCATGAATCGTCTTCGAGGCAGCACCGATTCTTTGATATCCTCCATTGAATTTATAGATCTTGTAAACATCAGGCGGCCTAAAACGAATTACGCTTATGAGCAAGAAAGTATAGAGATAATTCGGCCAAGACGAAGCAGAGTGTTCAGAGGTCTACCTGATATAAGGAACGATTCGGCGGAGAGAGAAGATTCTGAGAGATCGTACTGGGAGAAAGCTTCGAGGATCTCGCGAAGTAAATTGATCGATCAGGATTCGGTTCACAAGGAATACAAGTTTGTTAAGAGAAATCCTAGAGTCCGTATCCTCCCTCCAGTCCCGAGTCCATCGTTGATCGAGCGAAGGTAGAATTAGAGAGTAGAAAATAGTATTAAGTAAAACAAAATAATGATTTTTATTGCATATCTTTATATTTTGGAATGTGTATCATACGCACTGTAGAATATTAGCATTTAATTCATACGGGGTGTCTGGAAAATTTTCGCAGTCCCGAAGTGTAAAAGTAGATTGGTTTAAATTAAGAAGGAAAGTCCTGTACTATTTTGCGATATTCGCAATAATTAATGAAAAATTAATTAAAGAAGATAGGCCAATGCGCGTGGTAACCAGCGATGAGGGTGTAGGCGCACGGCGAAGGTTCCTCCCCTCTCCGCTTCGCCGCCTGGCATTTCTAGCGCATTGGCCGATCTTCTTTAATTAATTTTTCGTTAATTATTGCGAAAATCGTAAAATAGTATAGGACCTTTCTTTTTAATTTGAGCCAATCTACCTTCACACTTCGGGCATGCAAAAAATTTCCTGACACCCTGTATACATTTATATTTTAGTGAGTATTTTAATTAGTATAAAAAATTGCAATGTTGACTTCGTGTAATTGATTGTAAGTCATATTGTGATATTAATGTTTAAACGGTAGAATTTTGCAGTGAGTATAAGTTTGTATAAGTTGCTATTTAATTGGTAGAAAAATTGATACGGAATTGCTGATTGCGCTATGAATAATAATCATATCTATGATTTTTTTCTTACTATATTTTTTTCTTATTGTATTTTTATATATTTCGGTAGGACGATAGTTACGTAGTTAATGTCTTAACAATATTGTAGGAAAATTGAACTGACGACACGTCCCGCCTGGTGCAATTACGTGCGCAGAAGGCCGGACTTTAATCTTGTGCTTAAAGCTAGAACGTAAGTTCCAGGACGTGGAACCAATGACTCATGGCAGATTTCTAATTTTATCTATTTTATTAAAATGTATGTATTGATTTAGCTTTAGTGTAGTTAATTCAAAACATATATTAGGAATCACTGGGATTGGTAAAAGCTAAATCTTGTATAGCCTTTGATGAGAAAATTTGAAATCAATTTCTTCTTAAGGGGATCCCTCAACCTATCTTTTTTATCGACAAAATACTGTAATTTTTGGACATGTGCCATTTTTATTGTCTACATGGAATTAAAAATCCTTTTCTACGGTTGAAGTATAGATGCAAACGAACACGGGGAACCTGATTATATACTGAGAAAGAAAAAAAGTATAAAATTATATATTTATTTATCGACTTCTTAAATTAATATGGCGTCTAAAGCTATCACCTCATAAAGACATTAGCCTTGTATAAATGTTTTGTAACTTTTATGCATAAAACAATAGCATACCCAATAGAGGATTGCACAATAAAAACTTGTGGAACTGTGAAAATTGAGTTTAGTAGTCTAATTAATAAATGACATGTGCCCAAAAATTTCGGTCCGTATGTACCTGAAATATCGGTACAGTAGAGTGGAAAAAGCAGTGCATCTTCTTTATAAATAACGTGATAGAGAGAGATACGGGATGAGGATTAGATGAGGACACTGTAATCGTGTAAGAGTTCACCATTCAATGAGGGATCCCCTTAAGGAAACTATATCTCATAAAAGCAGTTTATTATTTTTCTATCAAAACTTTTCAAATATTCGATATTTTAATAATTAATTTTTAAATTAAAATAAAATTTATGTGAAGTTTTAAAAGATAAAAAAAGTTTATTATTTAAGATGCCAAAAGAAATTGATTCTAAATTTTTGATTTATGTTTTTAACAAGAGCAGATTAGATCACGTGTCAGAGTTATACACGAATGTTTGCCCATCACGTTTGTCTGGGAAATTGATTGGTGCACGTCTGTAGCTTAGTAGAAGACGAAAACGCACCTCCTTGTCAAGCACATTACAATATCGTTCGATTGGCTGTTGCTGTTTTACGCCAAAATACTCGTAAGAAGAAAGAAATCACACTAATCGAACTTTAATTTCAGCGGCACGAGCAAGGATTACGATCCATTTCTACTGGCCGAGCAGCAGATGAACGACCTGCTGTCGGACATGAGCGATCAGTCCATGACGGGGAGTCCCAAACTTCAACAAACTCACGACAATCTATATCCACTCTCTCATTCCTCCGCCTTCATAAAATATCCCATCTCTCACAAGAGATCGTCTCTGATAGAGCCTCCTCTCGAGTTCGACGATGTTGCATCCGACTTTTCGAGCGACTCCACCGAGACCAACTCGATCTCGCGTGAGATCTTTCTCTCGAGACCCATTCTCACGAATAAGGATATAACAGATAGCGCGGGCTCAAAACCCATCAAGGAATTAGGCAGGCGAGTCATAATCGATAAATCGAAAGCACTGGGTGTCGACGAGCGTCGCGGTGTCGTCGGCAGCGCCGACAGATCGCGCAAGATTTTTGACAAGATCACGCCTACGAAATCGTTGATTGATCGGTCCAATTCGATCCGGGCTTCGTCTGCGCCCAGGATTAACTCAGGCTCCGACAGAAAGATCTCGAGCGATATCAGGAAGGTCCAGAATTCTATGATCGCCGAAGATCAGTCGTTGTCAAGATCGTCGGATCAGAGTCTCAATCAGAGTAATAACAACTACTCGTCCCTGTCCGGCAGCAACCTGAGTCTCAACTCGATCATTTCCTCCTCGGAGTTAGATGTCAAGCGGTCGAACTCGATGTTTGACGAGTTGATGACGTGCTTCAAGGAGGACGAATTTAACATGAAATCCTTCCTCAATAATGAATCCTTTGACTTATCCAGCTCCGGTGGTGATAGACAGCAAAATGGCAGCCTGATCAGCGATGGGGAACTGTCCTCACCTGATAGTTATAAGCCGCGAGATCACAGCAAACTCAGCAACGACTCCGCCTACAGCAGGTTGGTCTTTAGCATCGCATTTTAAGATGATTGTTTGTCACATGATAGATTTAGAGCTTCATCGATTTATAAAAATTTATAAGAATAAAAAATTTTAAGAGAGAACAAATTATTATTCTTAGAAAAAAACTATTAATTACAATTTCTTATTAAATTTCTTAAATTTGTCTTACATAAAAAAAATATAAACTTTACTTAATAAAAAATGGATAATTTTTCTTGATATTTAAAAATTTAATAATTTAATTTAAGGATGTTTTGTATGTACAGCAAAAAGTAGCTGAAAATCAATATTGACGAATATCCACTTTAGGTTAGGTTAGGTTTGGTTTGGTTTAGTGTATTTTGAGTAAGAAATTGTGTGGAATATTACAATTTGATCTTAGCTACAGTGCAGAGACGTATTTTTTAATATTTATTGCGTTTGTACTGAAATATTTCGAATTTTGTTAATGGAAATGATTAACTTTTGGCAGAGAATTTCGCCGAGAGTTTTGTGACAGATACATGGCTAACTTCATTGAATTATATTTAATATCTTTTTAACCAGTTAGTGCTTGTATAATATTATTTGACTAAATATTTCCTCTGTATCAAAACTTTTACAAATTTTAAACAAATTCTGAATATTATTTCCATGTGTTTGTGTCATTTGAATCAACGTGGTTATACGTTTCCCATAAGAACACATGTTAATTCGGCGCAAATTAAAATCCTTATAACTTGTGAACGCTTTAGTGAATCGATTTAAAAATTGTACTGAAGATTCTAAACATATGTAGGACACTCTGTACAATTTTCATTAAATTCTCAATATTTTGAAAATAGATACAAAACATCCTTAATTTTTAATTATTACTAAACGTGACGACGCTCATTTATCATATTTACGTTTTTTGTATTCGCGTATGCTTAAAACCCAGTTCAATGTGTGCCCTTTAGTTTAAATCGCAAATATTCACACCATGGACGCAGCACCAATGATGTGATCGGCCGTCTCGACGAGGACGTCCCTAGAAACGAAACGTCGCCGATTCAGACGACGATCAAATGCAAGCTGTCCAAATTCTGCCACGAGTGCGGTCAGCGATTTCCGGAAACCGCCAAGTTCTGCTGCGAATGCGGCGTTAGAAGGCTCGCATTGTGAAACGCATCATCATTCTTCGAATATTGTCATCATTGTACGGATCTTGATATTAAGATGTGAAGCAAAGATATCACCGTGAAAATATTCTTTCGAGAAAAGAATATATTACTTAATTGTTTATTTCGAAGGAATTTCTTCGAAGCAAGAAAATTCCAGAAATATTTTCTCAAAAGAAATTATATATGAATTATATTTACAATTTCGAAAGAATTTTTTTCCGAAATTAAAGAAATTTTCTAAAAATATTCTTTGATAGTGAGATAATGATGGGTCAACTTCCTTATCACGATGATATGTAAAAACGATATATCATTTAGACGGCTTTTTAAAAATCTTAGAGTTTTGAGTATCTTTCATGAATTTTGTAAAGTAGCATTTTTACCGCTGAAGAATTTTTTTATCTGCTTTAGTTCGCTTTCTATGATGCGTCGATTTACTCGCTATTTTTGAGTAGTCTAGTAATATATATTTGATAAGAGAGTTTTTTGTCACAACAAATACAACACATATCGAGAGTTGCTGAGCGATCGCAAAAACCGTCCTCTTTTTTACAAATTCACAAGTGCGACTTTTTGATAAAGTTTTTATACGAATGAAGAAGAGCAAGAAGCATATATTTTCTGTTGAAGATAGGAGAGCTAAATAGAGAATTGATGGAAATTTATTTTATTAAAGTATAAATATGAAAATTTTAATACTGTATCTAATTCTTATTTTAATTCCAATGAGACATAGCTAGAAATTGAAGGAATACAACTCAGTTCTATATTTGGAATTAAAAGACACCAAAAAATAAATTCCTTTATATTCTATATTTCAATATAATTATTTTATATCTATTTCTAAATAAAAATAAGGAAATAACTGTTCGTTTTCGAATTTAATTCCACAAAAATAAATTTCTATCAACTCGATTAATTTACCTTTCACCTTTACAAGGCTCTTGTAGTACACGTATATGTAACGAGGTTGATCGTAGCATAAGATTAGGAGATAGTGATTAGGTGATTGCCAGTATCAGTTTCGCTCAATTAACGAGTCAACTAACGAAGCAAAATAAATGTGAAGTATGGAGCATGTTACATTCATTAATCTTAATAAAGATAGGCTTCTCAATTATTATGACAAAGAAAGAAGATTAATTATAATTAAATTAAAAGTGTGCGTCAAAACTCACAATAAATTTAAAAACTATCAAGTGAACCTTATTTATTCTTTAAGAAAGATAGAAAAAAAAAAATATATATATATATATTGCATTATTTATTACATATATGCTGAAAATATAAGTTAATGTAAATTATCTTGGAAAATATACAAGAATATAGAAATCGATTTAAAAAGTGTATCCCGATAAATAAAGAGAAATAATGATTAAATTTTTGCTACAGAAAAAAGACAAGAAATTCAAAAAAGTCTCGTTGATTCATCATTTTTTATATACATTTCGTCAATATTTTATTTTTTAAGATTTAAAAAAATATGCAAAAAATATCTTTAATTGTGATTATAAAGCGAGAGAATAGAATTGAATAACAGGTTATATATATATATCGTCACACTAATTATTTGTAACAATTCTAATAAGAGTAATTTGTTAAGAGTGTCATTGGTTCTCTGATTTTCATAGAGTATACCAAAGAGTAACAATGCGAGAGAGATAACGTTTGACAAAATTGACACGGTCATCTAACTTGGAAGAATGTGTGTTGAATTAATTGTATGCAATCGATATAAATTGTATACATCTCAAACTGTATTTTTACAAGTGCAATAAACTGATGCTTGTACAAATTTAATAACTCTAGTTTCTGAATTCTCTGAGAAAAAACTTTGAACGCTATAAAATTTCCATCTCTTTTCTTTTTAAAATCGTATGCAAAACAAGAAGTTGCTTATAAAAATAATTAAAATAAACAAAAGTAAATGATAAGTTTTTTGTAAAAATCATATATACTTACATTGAAAATATTTTAGATATTTTAAATTTCTTTTTTCATTTGTTTATTATTTGACAAATGAGAGGAGAAGGTACAAGAGCTTGATTAATCATGACTCATGACAGTTAAAGCGCATCCGAACCTAGAAAATATTTGCAAGGATGTTGCATCGAATGATCAATCGATTAATACAATCACGTGGGATATTTGTAAGGCTTCAATAATATTCAATAGATTTTGATTTAAAGTAAATATAAATTTTTTTGCAGAAATTTACGAGACAATCTCGTGCGACGATCAGAAATTCGCGAAGCTTTCATGTCAATGTTAGTCCCGCGGAAAAGGCAAAGTGCGGTGTGGATAAAAGCAGTAGTGTAAAAGCATTTATATTATTAGCATTATTAAAATTTATATTAATTAAATTTATATTAATTTATTAAAATTCTTATATAAATTTCTTTAATAGTTAACTATCCTTATAAATTAAGCAGAAAGGTATGTGGAAACTCAAATCTTTTTGTCCGTAATATTTTTTTCAAGTGAAATGATTACATATTATATAAATAATTTCACTGATTTTATTTCTAATTATTTAAAATATATAAAATTATATTTGAGAATATTTATGAAATTAATCTTACGTTTCCTATTTTTTAATTTTGATTAAAGATTTCTCTTAACAATATGAATTATATTTTAATAATCCAACTTGGGCTACTCTGAATTCTTCAATTAACATGTTTAGTTGCTAATTTATTTATATACTAATTTGCAGAACTATCCTCTGATAGATCATTGCTACGACGTGGTGATAGTAGGAGCGGGAGGCGCAGGATTAAGGGCGGCCTTCGGTCTCGGTAACAAAGGATATCGCGTAGCGGTGGTGTCGAAACTATTCCCGACCAGGTCGCATACTGTCGCCGCCCAGGGTGGCATCAATGCCGTCATTGCCGAAGAGAAAGAGGACAATTGGCTCTACCACATGTACGATACTGTGAAAGGATCCGACTGGCTGGGTGATCAGGACGCTATACATTTGCTCGCGAGGGAAGCGCCTCGAGCGATCTTCGAGCTCGAAAATTATGGTATAAACGCAATAATAAAGTATAAAATTAATATAAAATTAATATAATTAAATATAAATGTAATTAAATAAATATATAATTAAATATAATTAAATAAAATATATATAATTATATTAAATAAAATATATATATAATTATATTAAATAAAATATATATAATTAAAAATAAATATAATTAAATAAAATAAATATAATCAAAATAAATATAATTTTTCTACAAAGACTTGTGGCAAAATAAAAAGGGAATTTAATAATTATTAATTTAGAATCAATTTATGTGAAATTAAGTAAAACAATATTAAGTAACGCAAAATTGTGAAATTCGTAGGCTGTCCTTTTAGTCGTACGGAAGACGGCAAGATCTATCAGCGTGCTTTCGGCGGTCAGTCGTTAAAATTCGGCAAAGGTGGACAAGCTAAACGAACTTGCGCCGTCGCCGATCGAACCGGCCATGCGGTGCTTCACACCCTTTATGGACAGAGTCTTCGCTACGACGTGCATTACTTCATCGAGTATTTTGCTCTTGATCTGCTCATGTATGGTCGATGCTGCAAAGGGGTCCTTGCGTGGGAATTGGAGACCGGTCTTCTGCATCGATTCAGAGCTCATCATACGGTAAAGGAAACATAGCAAAATTTATACACCGCATATTTTTTTATTCATTAAAATATTGTCTCTTTTTATGAATCGCGATTTAATTACTATTTATTTTGAACAATTTATATTAAAATAAATATATTATCGCCAGTGTTTGCTGTAGATAATTTCAAAATTATCTAAATAAAAATAAAGATAAAAATCCGTAAATTTATCTCAGATGAGATAAAGATGATTTTGCTTTTACTTAATCTAGATGAAAGATTAGATAATTATTGCGATAATCTAGATAATTATCTAGATATTTTTGTTTATTTTAGAAGACTATAAATATTTGTAAAAAATGTGACGCAGATTATGTTAAATGAGATATTAAAATCATAAACACATATTCTTTCTCTTTTCCTAAAGAATATTTAAATAATAGTAAAAAGGTATAATATATAAATGATATGATAAATATTTATTTATTAATTTATATTTATAATATATTTATAATATATTAATAATATAATAATAATATATTTATAATATATTAATAATAATAATATAAAAAATATATTTTAGACATTTTAGATAGATTTTTAGAAGCTTGCCTGGAAAACTTTTTTGTATAATAAAAACGTCATCTTAGACAATTTTTAGATAAGATGACATATATTTTTCATCTAAGATAAAGATACTTGGTATTTCTTCATCTAGTTAAAGATAAAGATGATCCATTTCTTTATCTAGATGATTATCTAGATAATTTTATCTAGATACCAGCAAACACTGATTATCGCTTTGCAGGTGATCGCAACGGGTGGTGCTGGAAGATGTTTCCTCTCCTGTACCGCGGCGCATGCTTGCACTGGTGATGGTATGGCAATCGCATGTCGAGCGGGACTGCCACTGCAGGACATGGAGTTTGTCCAGTTTCATCCGACCGGTAATCTCTTCAGATCATCCGCAAATCCGCCGGCGACTTTTTTTCTCTCAGCTGATCGATCGATCTTTCTCACGTTACAGGCATTTACGGCAGCGGCATACTCATTACTGAGGGCAGCAGAGGAGAAGGTGGCAAGCTCGTTAACTCAAAGGGAGAGTTCTTCATGGAGAAGTACGCGCCTATAGCTAAGGATCTGGCGTCTCGCGACGTCGTCTCGAGAGCTATGACCGTCGAAATACTGGAAGGAAGGTTGGAATTTTTTATAGTTAGATTCTGTTATACAGGGTGAGGAAAAAGTATGGAAACCCTTAAGTTTCTCGAAAACCATGCATTTTAGAAATATATGTTTCAGACAAAAGTTGTAGGGTTTCAAGTAACGCATTACAGCATCAGTATAACCTGGAATAGTGTCGTCAAGATCACGTTATTTTTGATTATTTTACCTTAATACTTTTATGCATAAAATAATGTGAGGAAAAAATATTGTAATTTGCAATTTATAATTACATATTTTTTTTCGAAACAATTATTTCTTTTTTTTACACCAATTGATTCCTTTCATTATTTTGTACATAAAAGTATTAAGGTAAGATAATCGAAAAATGAATATTTTACTAGATATTTTACGGTTTATGTAAAATTAAGAAATTATTTCAAGCCTTATAACTCGAAAAGTACTCAATGAAAAATAACTTAACCATAGTGTTTTGGAAAGCTCTCGAGGTAAGTTACAAGTTACAAGAATATGTAATGAAAAACAGGGAGTTCCGTTTAAAAAATTCAAAGTGATTTTTATGTGATCTCAACAACACTCTTTAAGGTCATACTGATGCTGCTATGTAATACGTTACTTGAAACCCTACAACTTTCATCTGAACATTTGTTTCTAAAATGCATAGTTTTCGAAAAATTTAAGGGTTTCCATACTTTTTCCTCACCCTATATATTCTTAACATTTTATGTATAAAATGTTAGTAATAATTATAATAATTTATTCTGAATAAACTTAGGATAAACTTAATTGCGTGAATAAATTTTCAAATCAAGTTTTTGCTTAAGGATGTTTTATATATACAATCCCATCAAAAAGTAGCTGAAAATCAATATTGACAAATATATCCACTTTTGGTGTATTTTGAGTAAGAAATTATGTGGAATATTACAATTTGATTTTAGCTACAGTGCAGAGATGTATTTTTTAATATTTATTGCGTTTTTACTGAAATATTTCGAATTTTGTTAATCAAAATGATTAACTTTTGGCAGAGAATTTCGCCTTGTGACAGATACATGGCTAACTTCATTGCATTATATTTAATATCTTTTTAACCAGTTAATACTTGTATAATATTATTTGACCAAATATTTCCTCTCTATCTAAACTTTTGCAAATTTTCAACAAATTCTGAATATTATTTCCATGTGTTTTTGTCATTTGAATCGACGTAGTTATACGTTTCCCATAAGAACACATGTTAATTCGGTGCAAATTAAAATCCTTATAACTTGTGAACGCTTTAGTGAATCGATTTAAAAATTGTACTGAAGATTCTAAACATATATAAGGACATTCTGTACAATTTTCATTAAATTCTCAATATTTTGAAAATAGGTACAAAACATCCTTAAGCAAAGTCACGTTTGAGCTTTCATTAATAACTGAGCTAATTATGCTGCAGTTAGTTAAGCGCCATTATGTAAATCTGGCACATATTAGCAGTGCATTTAAAAAAAATATATATTAATGCGATATCTTTGCAGAGGTGTCGGGCCAAAGAAAGATCATATTCACTTGCAATTAAGTCACCTACCAGCTGAGCTGATACACGAGAGGTTGCCTGGAATTTCGCACCTTGCCTGGGTGTTCGCTGGAGTGGACGTGACAAAGCAACCGATCCCTGTAATTCCCACGGTGCACTATAACATGGGCGGCATACCTACAAATTGGCGTGCACAAGTAGGAAATACAATAGGAAGAATACATATTCGTTACTTTTATTATCATTATATTATCACAATTTTATAATTATCTTTAACTAGCGAAAGCTATTCTTGTTGCTCAATCTTTTTCCTTCTCTTTAATATTTTATATCTTTAATATTTTACTCGCTATATTATTTAATTTAATTATTTTACATTTTATTAAACAAAAATAAGTTAAATATTTATTGATAATTTTATAATTTCATACTTGTATAGATTAAGTAAATATATTTCAATAACAAAAAAAAAAGAGAGATCCGATCATCAGCGTTTCGACGCAGTTACTCAACATTATAATTATATTTTAACGTAAATAACACGTTGTCACGTAAATAATGTAAATAACAGGTATTAACGCGAGAAAACGAGGAAGACAGACCGATCGAAGGTCTCTGGGCAGCTGGCGAGACTGCATGTGCATCTGTTCATGGCGCTAATCGATTGGGCGCTAACAGTCTTCTGGAACTTGTGGTTTTCGGCAAAGCCATCGCTGATCAGATCGACTGTATCGCCAGACCCGGCGAACGTCACGAAGATCTGTCGCCAGTAAGAATTTACATTTAGAGCCTTTTGAAGGCTTCTCCAGAAACACTCTTCGTTTTTTTTCGATCATTTTATTTCGATCGCAAATCAATTTTTAATTAAATACGATATTTAATTAAATACGATGTATGACGCGCCTTTTAATATTGTATTTTATCATCTTGACAACTCTTTAAAGAGTTCTTTTATTATGTTTGAGCAATATTTTGTCACACAACTTAATATTTTATTTTATAATTTTAATATTTTATAATTTTAATATTTTAATATTTATTAAATTTATTTAATATTTATAATTTTAATATTTTAATATTTATTAAATTTATTTAATATTTATAATTTTAATATTTATTAAATTTATTTCATATTTATAATTTTAATATTTTATAATTTTAATTTTTTTTTCTTGTGTGATATGCTATTTTATATTATTTTAAATAACTAAATTTTTCACATTAAAATACATTAAAAATCATTATTTAAGAAAATTCGCGAAAATTAAATTTAATGAGAATTATTATATAAATGTTTATATCAAAGAGCAATTTGGATGCAGGATATCGGTGAAGAATCGATTTGTCGCTTCGATGCGACCCGTTATACGAAAGGCTGCGTTCCTGTGGTCGAGCTGCGCGACGAGATGCAACGCACGATGCAGAAGTATTGCTCGGTATTTAGGACTTGCGATATTTTGCAACGTGGATGCAGGGAAATAACCCGTCTCTACACGTGCGACTTACCGGATCTATGTGTAAGCCAATTATGCGCCATTTTTAAATTGTAGAGAGAGTATTAATTGATTAAATTTAGAAATTTAAGATATAAATAAATTAAAATTTATAAATACAAATTTAACAACGAGTAATTTCACTCAAGAAAATACAATAGAACAAAAAAAAAAGATTTCGATATAAAATACATATAAAAATATATATAATTAGTACATCTTTTTAAATATTTTGAGTTCAAATAAGAAGTCTCAAATTCATGAATTTATACATTGATGCTAATTATTAATTATTAATAATTATTAATAATTATTACGCATAATCTCCATATATACAATGTAATTAACAAAGCTTAATGAGGCTGTGATAATTACATCGTTACGTTGCAGTTAGTGGCGTAACGCGCTGTTGCATAAGACGATGATACAAACAAGAGCTGTTTTATCTGGAGCCCCGTACATATTTAGATCACTTTCGAACGTTTTTTTTTTTTTTAGGTGCAAGATCAGTCTCTCATTTGGAATACTGAGCTCGTCGAGGCCTTGGAGTTACAAAACATGATGCTTGTCTGCATGCATATCGTCTACGCCGCCGAGAATCGAAAGGAGTCAAGAGGCTCGCACTTCAGGGAAGATTTCAAGGTATAAAAAGAATGAATTAAATTCAAAAAATTTTTAAAATATCTAAATTTATAACGATAACAGATAACGATATATTTCATGTATTAATGTGTGCAAATAAATAATGCTGCACATATAAGTTGAAATTTGTCGAATTTTTAAATACGAAATATATGTTTCTAATTGATTGACATCGAGGAAAACTAATTTTGTATTAATTTTGAATGTTTATTTTACTTCCCTCCACCTCCTTAGGAGAGAATTGACGAGTATAATTATACAAAACCGCTCGAAGGACAAAAACAACGACCTTACGCGGAACACTGGCGTAAGCATACGCTTACATGGGCTCAGGAAGATGCATCGGTTAGTTGAGAAACGTTCTTATATAAATTAGATTTAATTTTTCTTTAAAAAAATTGAGTATCTGTAATAAATTAAAATTAAATTACTTTACACAATATAACACACAAGTGATATACAGGGTGTCCCAGATCACCCGTACACCTCTTTTAAAAATGAAAATAAATGGCTTTTATCAAAAATCGTGAACAATTTTTAAATAAATGGGCTCTATCAAATGGTGATATTTTCAACTTTTGATTCCGACCAGAAATACGCCATCCGGATCGGAAGTTGAATTTTCTTAGGGGAACATGGTACTTTTTATTACAGATTCGAATTATACGTGAAAAAATAAGAAACTTTTGTATGAAACGTTTTTTCTAAAAGTGCCTCTGTCAATCTTAAAATTAACCTTATTATTTCATCACAGTTACTTTCAAGATCAATTTTAAGATTGACAGAGGCACTTTTAGAAAAAACGTTTGATACAAAATTTTCTTATTTTTTCACGTACAATTCGAACCTGTAATAAAAAGTATGTTCCCCTAAAAAAATTCAACTTCCGATCCGGATGGCGTAGTTCCGGTCGGAATCAAAAGTTGAAAATATTACCATTTGATAGAGCGTACCCAATTTACTTAAAAATTCGCGATTTTTGATAAAAATCATTTATTTTCATTTTAAAAGGGATGTATCTAGAATACGAGTGATCTGGAACACCTTGTATAAGACATTGAAATATAATTATTAATTTCTATTAGACTCTGTATCAATATTAATAATTATTATTTTTAATTAATATAACAGTACTTTTATATAATAATATTTGTATAAAATTGTGATTTATAAAATTTACGTTTACTGTTGTACTGATTTCTTTTTTAATGGCATGCTGTTTTTAGGTTTGCATCTCTTATCGGCCTGTTATCGACACGACTCTAGATGAGAGCGAGGCTCAACATGTGCCGCCTGCAGTTCGCGCGTATTGACGTCATAAACGATTAATTGCAAGCAGTCGATTAATTGAAATATAACGAGAGCTATGCGATTATGAATCTGATCGGCTATCTCGTTACAATTGCATTAATGTCACGTTTGAAATCGAGCATACGAAATCTGGAAATTAACGAAGCAAAGAAATCATCATAAAATTCATGAAAAAAATTTCTTGTTCATAAAAATGTATTTTTTATAGATAATCTAAGTACGTCCTACATTTCTTGATGGCCTCGCAACAGATATATTAACGGTAACTAATTGGCATTAATTAATGCGCTCGACGCAACTGTATCAATTAGATGCACTGGGGAAAAAATGAATTGAGATTGGGATTATATTCTTAAGATAGATTTCAAAAGATATTCTTTTAAGTTTTGTATGTTAAAAAGATTGGTAGAGAATGAAGCAATGCAAGAAAGAGTGTTATAAGTAATAATGATGAGATATCTCCTTTTATCTTTATACACGAAAAAAACAAATGTGATTCGGCATAATTTAACAATGTCATTACAATGTCTTTGACATATGTTAATTTCATAAGAGATCGTTAATCACAACTCCACTGATGATAACACAATTACAGTATCGTAATAAATGTTGAATAAATTATTTACTGAAGACATAAATTTCTTTACTAAGAGAGGATAATTTACGACCACCTTATTTAGCTTATGTAATATTATATACATATGCATCTGTTTACATAAATCTAAAAAATACATTTGACGATCTGTCAATTCATATTAAATATTAATCGTATCCGTTTAATAAATTTGTTTATCGCACACACACACATTTTACATAAAATATCTGTTAAATATCTAGAAAAAATATAAAATAGAAGATCGAAAAAAACATTCTCTCTTTAAAAATTGCACATACATTGTGTGGGTTGATTTTTCAATAAAATTGATGTATAGACATGATATGATAAATATATATGATAAATAAAAAAATTAAATAGACCCATTTAATGTGATAAGGAAGAGCAAGTCGATATAAAGAATGCGTTGTTTGGAGTTATGGGAATAATTGTGACAACAATTACTTCCATGCATAGTTTTATGTTTGCAGTAGAAGTTATCACTTCTGTCTCATTCATTTACTCATTCTCTTTTTCATTTTAATTACATCACGTTATGCGCTTCAAATTGTGTTAAACTTTTTTAAAATTTTATTAATATAATTAAATTATATGATTAATTTTACTAATATGATTAAATTATTAATATGATTAAAAAGATAGGATTTTATCATGAAACTTTTGTATGAAAAATTTTTCGATATTATGAATAATTTTCGAATTATATCAAGAAAAGGAAAAAGTCGCTCTACGTATAAAGGGTGATTTTACCCCTTAGAGTCGTTTTTAGGTCGCAACTGAAAATTTCTAAATTCATCTATTTATCTTCCCTACATTTGTGTAAAGTTTCATCAAAATCAGAATTTTTGAGTTCGCGAGGTTCCCTTGTTAATTAATGCAAAGAAGTAATTTTATTCATATTTATTTGCGTTTTTATGTGGCTCTTTTTCCTTCAAAATTTGTATAAACATTTTATTTGTAAGAGTTTATAGTTAAAAGAAATCTTGGAGTCTCTCTCTCTCTCTCTCTCTCTCTCTCTCTCTCTCTCTCTCCCTCTCTCTCAGATTAATGGATTATATAATTAATTTTATACGTTACATCTATATTTATTTTTTATTTTTTCTTTGCTTCTCTCTTTCTCTAATACACTGCAAATAATCATTATGAAGTCGCATTCTCGTAAATTCAAACTTATTGTTTTAGAACAAATGATACTCCCTAAAGTTGATTATTCCCTTGTTCTCTCATTACTTGACATTTATCATCTCATTACGCACGCGTAGAGTGAAGAAAGCGACTAGTAAAGATTGTACGTCTATTTCAAGCGCAATTTCCGTGTGATTAAAAAATAGGATCATCTCTCAATAATTTGGGATTAGGAGAGAATGCATGTACAGATAATACATTCTCGATCGCGTATATCTTCACTCAAAATGCTGCCAGGACGGACAGCATTCGATTTTTTTCGGACGCGTCCCGTTGGCAGTGTTCCGATTAGGGATTTCGTGCGCGCGCATGTGCGGTTCTGCGCATGAGCAATCGTGACGTCACAATTAACTACAGTAACGTAATAAGCAATATAAGCATATGTGTAATAACGTGTAAAGTTTATTTAAAGAATATATAACCTTTTCTCTTTCCTTTTATCCTTTATAATAATTAATATGTATAAAATAATTCAATTATATATATATATATATATATATATATATATGTATATATAACGTGTCTTTATACACACATACATATTTTTATCTATAATTTTTTAATACGTTTTTATATAGCTGAGTAAGGATGCTGTCACATGGCAGTCGGAATTTTTAAAAACGCAATCTCGGAAAAGTACTAGAATACTAGAACTAGGAATTAAACGGGATTGAATTTTTATCTTTATAAGAAGAATTTTATTGTTAATAAATAATTGCTTGGTAAATATTTATTAATGTACATATAAATATTTAATCAAAATATTTTATCACATAAAATAGTTATCATATTGTCAAGAATAAAAGTTGCGTGTTCGGTATGGTTTTTTTGTGGCTGGGCTCCCCATGAACTAATATTTCGGAGCATTTCGGAAATTAGTAAAAATATAAAAATGTATTTTGATAGTTTTCCGACAAAAAAAATAATTAATACAATAGAAAAATATATAGAAAAGTGACATTTGTATGTATAGTTTATTATAACAGAAAATAATAAAGAAATTTTCTAAATTGAAAAACAATTTGAGGTTAGAATAACATTCCGTTTTCCATAAAAATCACTCCATGGGGAGCAAGGCTATCGAAAAATTGGATTGGAAAAAAATTCTGATTAGTTGATCACCACTCTGGTACTTTTCCGAAATTCCGACTGCCATGTGACAGCATCCTATAAGACCGGAATCCCATGGAGCGGAAATATTCAGTGGAACGGAACACGCGGAGCCAATCCGACCAATCACAGCCATTCCGTTTCTTTTCCGGCGCTTTTTCTATTTTCCTAATGTCCCATGGAGCGGAATAAGCGGAAATAAATCAGGCAGAATGATAAAGAAGATTGCTTTTTATGTTATTTTCAATATTTATAATAATTAGAATAATATTTTATACAAATAAAATAATATATGATAAAGTAATTAACAATAAAATTTGTTTTTTCTGTAAAATATTTTTAACATAAATGTAGAACTACTTTACGATTGGTTGAAATCTAATTCCGCTACCGCGTTTACCGCTTAATGGGACATTAGGAGAAATACATCAGCGCGGAAACATAACCGCATCTTTACATGCTTCTGCATGTATCTTTCGTACACAATATTAATTAATTATGAACGAAGTAAGTATATAAAATAAATAAAATGTTAATAATTTGATGTATAATAAATATTAAAATAAATATTAATGCATAAAGTATGAATATATTTGCAGAAAATAAAATGTAGTTACTGTGGCTGGATAATAAGTGGCTCATGTACCAATATTGAGCAGCATAAATGTTTTAGGAATTATAATGCTGCAAGAATTGCGGTTAGAATAAATTATCCGTTCATTCCGCAGATTTCAGCGGTAAAATTATAGCGAAATGGTTCAAAAAGAAACAGAATGGCTATGATTAATCGGGTTGGCTCCGCGCGTTCCGCTGAATATTTCCGCTCTATGGGACTCCGGCTTAACGGTGCCCTTTTTTATTAGCATAAGGTACTTCACTGACAGCATATTGCCGCACATGCGCGTAAAGGGAATCCCTAATCGGAGCACCGCCCGTTGGCAGCACTGCGCGCGCGCGGCTCCCGGCGTCAGTCGACGCCGAGCCGCCGAGCCGTGCGGATCGAAGTGTTAGTCAGGGGAGTCGCCGTTCGTCGCCGCCACTATACAGGGGGTTAGTCGCGTGCGTGCGGGTTTGTCAGCGGGGGCGTGCTCTTGACACACGGTAATCGCGACAGGAGCGACGCAGGATGAGCGGATTGCTGAAGCTGTCGGCGTCCTTGCTGCCGAGGGCTCTGCCGGGGACGTTGGTGAGAACCTCGCGTGCAACGATAGATCCGGACACCGTGGAACGTAGAGCTCAGAACCGAAGTAATCGTAGCTTCGTCTCGGGTCCCGAAAGTCCTTGTCACGCGATCCAAAGACCGCGAATCTCGCGAGCCAGAGGAAGGGAGGGTCCTGTCCTTCCTTCGCGCGACGAAACTCCACCAAGTTGGCTCGGTCACCTTGGTACACCTGGCCTAGAACTTCGCGTTGCCTTCTCCTAGCCTAGAAGCTAGAACCTTGGCGTTACCTCGCGCCATCTTAAAAAAAAATTCTCGTTTTCTATTATCACGGATCAGGCGGTTAAGTCCATCGTCGATGGGCTTGGCGAATTTTCTCGCTCGTTACATAATTTTTTATCCACCGTCCACGGTGGTGGATGCATCTCGCCGCGGATCAATTACGTAAGATGCGCGCGAATAAATACGCGCACCCGGAAATGCGCCGTCTTGCCGCGTGTTTCCCACCAAACACGCGGCATCCCTCGAGCCCTCCCTCTCTTCAAGAGAGAGAGAGAGAGAGAGAGAGAATGAGATTAACGATCCTGCGTGAATCTCCTGAAAGATAGAACAAATTTACCTATTTCCATATGCTCTGGCTTACAATATGTTACGTCAATGAGGGCTGCTCGCATCTAACGGTGCTCGTGACTCATTATAGTGTATTCGAGTCTAGGCATTCTTAGTGTTTTCGTCAACACTTTAACCTTGTACGCATCTGCTCGATAACTTGAAAGCAGTGGAGAGTGGTGAGGTTTTTCGACAAGTGATTATATGTAATTTGATGAGAAATTATTTACGTTGATATTAATTCTTTTTGTTCATTTGTAGCTCGAGAATTGTATATAATTTGGCGAGAAATTATTTACGTTGATATTAATTCTTTTTGTTCATTTATAGCTCGAGAATTATATATAATTTGGCGAGAAATTATTTACGTTGATATTTATTATTTTATATATATTATTTTTGTTCATTTATGGCTCAAGAATTATACAGGGTGGCCCCGAACGTTCCAGCAAGACTTTGAGATCTTATAGGAAATTTAATTCTGAAGAAAACATTTCCTATAAATATGGGTCGAAAAATTCTTCCTTAAGAAGTTATCGCTCAAAAACCTGATGAAGGAAGAGCAAAAGGTGAAAAGAAAATAAAATAAAATGAAAATGAAATTAAATAAATTTCTTGAAAAAACCGATAAAAATAAAAAATAAAAATCTTTTTCTTTTATGAAAATAAAATAATTTTTTTTTTAACTAACTTTTATTTTATTTTTATAAAAGAAAAAGATTTTTATTTTTTATTTGTATCGTTTTTTTTTTTTTTTTTTTTTTCAAAAATTTATTTAGTTTCATTTTCTTTTTATTTTATTTTCTTTTCACCTTTTGCTCTTCTTTCAGAGGTTTTTGAGCGATAACTTCTTAAGGAAGCATTTTTCCATGTTTATAGGAAATTTTTTGTTCAGAATTAAATTTCCTAAGATCTCAAAGTCTGGCTGGAACGTATGGAACCACCCTGTATATCTAAAATAAATATTTTTCATTACGGATTAAAGAAGATTAATTTTAATAATTAGAGATTTGGCTCAAGTAATCAAAAAATTAAAAAGGAAATGACATAAGAACCAACGCGCGGTAATTGGAGCGCAGAGAAGCAACAACATTTCTTTCTTTTTTCAATATTAGTTTATTAAAAAACTCATATTACAATAATAAAAAGCGAAAGATTAATTAAATTAAAAATAAAGATTAATGTGTGAAACTGATAATATAGATGTTCAGTGTTATACAAGTACAGAGATAAGCATTTCGCGAAATCTCGTGAGTGTCGCGCTTGAATTGATAACGGGATTCGTTTTTACGTTTCTCTCTATTGTTAAATATTTATAATTTTTTTATTTCTCTCGATGAAAAAACTTATGTATCAAAATGAGTATATAAAATTCACTGCGACATTTGTTTATCCAACAGTCTTGTGCGATTTTATCAGAATAGCCCATGTTATTTCGATATTTTTATCAAGATTGTGCTCGATAGCAGATCAGACACACAGTGTGAGAGCTTTATTAAAAAGATAAGAAAGTTTGCGTGTGCACATATTTAGAGTTACTTCTGTCTTACATTGGGACGTGCCTCCATCATATCGTAATTTTTAAAATAATTATTTACACGATAGATTACATGAATATTGAATTTTTCAATTTTCAAGCAATAAAACTCTTCTCTTTTAAATTCGCAATTGAATTAAAATTATGTTTAAATAAATTGGATGCAAGTTTTGTTTATATATGATTTTTTATATCCTCAAAATTTACCAAAACAAAATGTTTTCAATCGAGAAATTTATTTTTTATAATAAAATTAATATTTTTCTAATAAAATGTGTCGATTTGAATTACTTCTTTCCGAAAAAATATTTTGAAAAATATTGACATTGCTATTTTTAGATCGAACAGAATGTTCGTATCTTTGAATAAATATGTAATGTATATAATGTATATATAATGTAAATTGACCGATGATAAGAAAGGTGACAAGGAAATCTAATGTTCTTCCGTAAGTACGTTGCACGATCTAATGTTAATCCGCATTTCTATTCTATACGATACGGTTCAATATACTTATATTTTTTTTCTCAGTTGAATCAATTCTCAATTAGTCGGCAGACACTAATTCCATATTATTTATGAGAATAATCAATTGCTCGTTAAAGTGTTTCACAAGGATATTATTACAAAACTATATATTATAAACTTTCTGTGAAAAACTTGCATCTCAAATTTATTTTTCAACACATTATAAATTTCTAAAATTATTATTCCTTTATCTAATAAAATGTTTTGTTGTATCATGAGCTTTCTTATATCAAGACGTTTTATTTATTGCATTCCAAAAAGAGAAATTTCCAAGTTCTTGCACGGCAAGTTCTTTTTGCAATATTCTCATGGCATTTAAACGATATTTATGAAATAATGGCGCATAAAATGTTATCTGTAAATAATAGATCTCGTACTCGCGTTCAAGTCGCACAAATTGAATAGCATAACGATCAGTCATACATGTGTACACGCGATAGCAGCTGCGTGTGTTCGTGACTCATTATAAATAACTATCTTATATAATTTGTAAAGGAAACAATTAAAGCTTCTTCAGCAATGTTAAAGCAGGAAATCATAGAGAGTGTAAATTCCTGTATCATTTTTTTTTTATTCCATCAGAAATATTAAAACCCTAGATCTCTTGATTATTTCCTCTTCCTCACCGACATTTATGAATATTTTATTACGCATGTAAATGTATATCGAAGAAAAGGATTTTTATATTGTATAATTTTATAATGAATTAACCATAGATCTATAATTTAATAATAAATTAAATCACTATATAAGTTTATAACAAGTAAAATCACTATATATTTGAGTTTGACATAAAAGATAGGTGAATTAATTCATAAAAAAAATATTTTATCATTAGAATCCTAGATCTCTTGATTATTTCCTCTTCCTCGCCGACATTTATGAATATTTTATTAAGCATATAAATGTATATCGAAGAAAAGGATTTTTATATTATATTATTTCATAATGAATTATCCATCATATATCTAATTTAATAAATTAATCAATTAAATCCCTATACATATAATTTTATAACAAGTTAAATCACTATACAGTTTGATGTAAAAGATGAATTAATTCATAAAAAAAAATATTTTACCATCCTAAAAAAAATTTCACTCTTAGTCATAAAAATTTGTGTAAAAAATGATCTCTATCTCGACTTCCGGTTCGCAGAACAAGCTGGGATTGCCGCTACTCGGCAACCGGAAGCTGCATCACACACCGGACGGCCGAGCGGCCAAGATCTCCGACGCGATCTCTAAACAGTATCCGTTGGTGGATCACACGTATGATGCGGTGGTGGTAGGAGCCGGAGGTGCCGGTCTTCGGGCGGCCTACGGCCTGGTGGCCGAAGGCTTCAAAACCGCGGTGGTCACCAAACTGTTCCCGACAAGATCGCACACGGTAGCCGCCCAGGGCGGCATCAACGCCGCCCTGGGCAATATGGAAGCTGACAACTGGCAGTGGCACATGTACGACACTGTCAAGGGCTCGGACTGGCTGGGCGATCAGGACGCCATTCATTACATGACGCGTGAGGCCCCCAAAGCCGTCATCGAACTGGAGAACTGCGGCATGCCCTTCAGTCGAACTAACGATGGTAAGCGAAGGTGTGGATGATGATGTTCATGCGTATGTGTTTATACAGAGTGACCCCGAACGTTCCAGCCAGGCTTCGAGATCTTATAAGAAATTTAATTCTGAACAAAAAATTTCCTATAAACATGGGTCGAAAAATACTTCCTTAAGAAGTTATTGCTCAAAAACCTCTGATGAAGGAAGAGCAAAAGGTGAAAAAGAAAAAAAAAAATGAAACTAAATAAATTTCTTGAAAAAAAACGATAAAAATAAAAAATAAAAATCTTTTTCTTTTATGAAAATAAAATAAAAGTTAGTTAAAAAAAATTATTTTATTTTTATAAAAGAAAAAGATTTTTATTTTTTATTTTTCGTTTTTTTCAAGAAATTTATTTAATTTCATTTTCTTTTTATTTCATTTTCTTTTCAGAATTAAATTTCCTATAAGATCTCAAAGTCTGGCTGGAACGTTCGGGGCCATCTTGTATATGTGAAAAAGATGAATAATTTAAGGAAAGTTAAAAAGATTCTACGACACGTAATTGTAACAGAATTAATACAATAGCATAAAAAGGAATCAATTCAATATTAAAACTATCTTGATATGGTCTTAAACTTTATTCAAGTTTCGAATTAAGTACGATCAAATTTTAGGACACGTCAAACTAAACTGATTCGTGTACATATTTCTTGGCATTCTTGTTTTCTATCGTGATTTAATTTACATCTAAGAACTCAGATCTGAATTATCCTCGCTGGTCATAGTCGCGCCTGTTCCCGAGGTTGCAGTGTCTGATTCCGCGTCAGAATCGTATGTCTTGCTTCTGGAACGCTTCCTCTCATTTCTTTTCTGAAACGTAAATAACATCGAAATATTATAAGAATAGTCAAAATTTAATTTTGTATATCTCCCTTATGACGTATAAATATTAAATTTTTATTTTACATAATTTATATATTAATTTATTATTATATTTACTATTATATTTATTATATTTATTATTGTATTTATTATTATAAATATATATTAATTTATTGATGTTCGTTAAATATACTAATGTAATGATATAATTTTATATAAAAAAATGGTGATTTAATTAATTAAATTAATTAAATCAAATAAATTAATAAATACAATAATAAATATAATAAATATAATAATAAATATAATAAATATAATAGTAAATATAATAATAAATTAATATATAAATTATGTAAAGAGAATAAAAATTCAATATTTATACGTCATAAGGGAGATATACAAAATTAAACTTTACTTAATTATTTTAATTAATTAATTTAATTTAATTAATTTAATTTAACTTAATTAATTTAATTAATTGAAAACCTCTCGTTCTTTTTTTTTCTGCTCATTGTCCGACTTTTTGGAGACGTCACTGCCAGTGGGTTTATTGGTAGTTTGTTCACTCTTATTATTTTGCTGCGATTGTTTCTGCACCAGCTTAGCCGCCTCCATGTAAGGCATCTTCTCTGTGGATGACATTTGTCGCCACTTTTGTCCTCCGAGTCGAAAGAGATCTTTGCTTTTTATCTTATTATAATCCTGTAATTTGACGGTATAGTTCCTTATTGTATTATATAATTATATAATTATATAATTATCCTGCGTATTTTATTCTGTAATTTTTGCGATCATCGTTACCTGTCTAAAATCTTGCATAAAATTGAGAAAAGCGTTCGCGCTTCTCCTTTGCTTCTTCCGCAAAGGCTTGCTACGCGATCTCGATCGCGAGCGAGATGACTTTCTGTTATATTGTCTGGAAGTGGGATACAAATCGACATTTTCAAAAAAAAAAGCAATCGATTACCATGAAGGGAAAATAATAGTAATTATTTAATTATGTAGGAAAAAATAATATGAAAAGTTGGATTTTTTAAATTTAATAGCGTTGCATATTTTTTTAATATAATATAATAATGTAATATCTAAATGCAATTTTTCAGAACAGATTCTGGATATGTTTATCGTATACAATTTAAAATTTATTTTATATTTATTATTTATTTATTCTAATTTAATTATACAGATCATAGTTGTTTATGTAACTCACTCGTTTCGCGTGGATTTATAGTTGGGGGATTTTAATACCAGCTGATATTGATTATCAGAACCTCTTTCCTGCAGTTCTGCATTTTCGTCGTTTCCTATGTCTCCTGTTACTTCGTTATTTTCTTCTCTTCTATTGTCATTTTCCATGATTTCGAAAGGTGTACTTGCCCTATCGATATTTATTTATACAGTTATGCATTCTTACTTATTGGTAAGAATTTTAACAAGCAAGAATTTATCCCTGCCAACGAGAAAGTAAAACGCAAATTTTTCGAAACACTATGAAAATAACAAACTTCATCATTTGGTTGCCATGCAGTTGAAGGTTGCTGCTTCTCTTGATAATAAATAATTTTAAATTTGCATCGAACTTATCTCTATCAAAAAAATCATTTTTTTTTTAGTATATTCAGTATAATTCATATTTTTTTATTTCATGTTTTTTTTAATATCTAAAAAAATAAAGAGGGAATTTAAGGATGTTTTGTATGTACAATCCCAACAAAAAGTAGGTGAAAATCAATATTGACGAATATATCTACTTTTGGTGTAGAGACGTATTTTTTAATATTTATTGCGTTTTTACTAAAATATTCCGAATTTTGTTAATCGAAATGATTAACTTTTGGCAGAGAATTTCGCCTTGTGACAGATACATGCTAACTTCATTAAATTATATTTAATATCTTTTTAACAAGTTAATACTTGTATAATATTATTTGACCAAATATTTCCTCTGTATCTAAACTTTCGCAAATTTTTAACAAAATTCTGAATATTATTTCCATGTGTTTTTGTCATTTGAATCGACATGGTTATACATTTTTCATAAGAACACATGTTAATTCGGTGCAAATTAAAATCCTTATAACTTGTGAACGCTTTAGTGAATCGATTTAAAAATTATACTGAAGATCCTAAACATATGTAAGGACATTCTGTATAATTTTCATTAAATTCTCAATATTTTGAAAATAGGTACAAAATATCCTTAATAGCCTGCAATATTATTGTAATACGATAAAAAATTAATAAATGTGCAACGTACTATCATGTTGATAATATATATTGTATTATCATAAGAATCCTAATTCTTATTTAGTGTTGATTTTAAATATTTTAAAAATCAAGTTTCTCTGAATAAATATAAAATACGTTTATTTTCTTAGGGAGAATTTATGTATAATATTTCTACAATGTAAAATTGATTTCATGGCAAATATTATATCAAATTTACAAATTGCTTTTAGATACTTGGCTAATAATAATTATTGATTTCCTATTTAGTTTTGATATTTTATTTTTTTATATTTTTTAATGAAAATTATTTGTTGAGGTTTTGTTTTTTAGAAAAATGGTTTTGTGAGGGAAAATTATTGTAAATTATTTCTAAGGACATTTTTCATTAAATTCTCAATATTTTAAAAATAGGTAAAAAACATCCTTAAGAATTTTATCCATTGATATTAATAAAAAATAATTCTAATTTTGTCATTTTTTTTTTGTCAGGTAAGATCTATCAACGCGCGTTTGGCGGTCAATCGCTCAAGTTCGGCAAAGGTGGTCAAGCTCACCGATGTTGTTGTGTGGCCGACAGAACCGGTCATTCCTTGCTGCACACGCTCTACGGCCAGTCACTGAGCTACGACTGCAATTACTTCGTCGAATACTTTGCGCTTGACCTGCTGATGGAGGACGGCGAGTGTCGTGGAGTGATCGCGTTCAGTCTCGAGGACGGAACGTTGCATCGCTTCCGCGCCAAGAACACGGTGCTCGCCACCGGTGGCTACGGACGTGCTTATTTCTCCTGCACGTCTGCGCACACCTGCACCGGCGATGGCACTGCCATGGTCTCCAGGGCCAATCTACCCAATCAGGATCTTGAATTCGTACAATTTCACCCCACAGGTATATTAGTCATTGCATCAGAGGGTTGCACAAGATACCAAGATTAGTCTTGATATTGTCTTGTCTTGTCTTGAATTTCAAGACAAGATCAAGACAAGATTTTTAATTAATTATCAAGACTAAGACTGTCAAGATTATTAGTCTTGTCAAGATTATTGGTTCTCAAAAAAGCTAAAATATTTATATTTGTAAATGAAAAAAATATATCACTATATACGAATTTAAAAAAATTTTATTCAATAAAAACATTTATATTAATAAATTTAAAAACATTTAATATTAATACAATAACATTTTTATAAATTAGAAATCAAACTCGCAAATTTTAGACATTAAAGAGAATTTCTCCCAGGAATTGATGCATTAGTGCTTTTAAAGATTAATTTTGTAATCTGGTTTTCTATTTTTTGTCATAGTCAGAGTTCCTATTGAGAAAAGTCTTTCTATTGGCACGGACGAGGCAGTTGAACTTAAAATGTCTCGAGCCATTTTTGACAATGTGGGATAAATATGAACCTGATTTTTTTACCACTCCAAAATATTTATATATGCACATTTCCTTGGAGCCTATAAATAGTTATTAATTTCTGTTTTCCATGAAACAGTAAATGTTTTTTTATGTAAATAGACGGCATTTATATCGATTACATAGTATACAATAATTATACAATAATTATACAATAATTATACAATAATTATACAATAATTATACAATAATTATACAATAATTATACAATAATTATACAATAATTATACAATAATTATAATTAAAATATAATACAATAGTAATAATGATTTCAAATTATATTACAAAAATTATGTTAAATATTATTTAAATAATTTTTTAATATTAGATAAAAAATTGTTAATAAAATCGAGACAAGACAAGATGAGATTTTTGCTATCAATATTCACTCAAGACCAAGATAATATTTAAATATTTGAAAATTTTCAATACTAATACAATATTTTTACGAATATTGTCTTGTCTTGGGTCTTGTGCAACCCTAATCAGAATCATATTATGCTAACGTATTTTTTGAAATATTTTTATATAATGAGGCTTTGAGACAATTTGGCAGTCAAGAATAACAATAATAATGACAATAAAGAAAGAAAGAAAATATTGAAAATTTTAAAAAGTATATTGTTAATAATTTTTCACATTTTTTAAAGATCTTTAATATTCAGCGTTTTACGTACGATAAGATTGCGGATAAAATTAACCGTACTTCTTTCATCTTCAAATACGAATCAACAGAAATTATTTTTATCCTCAGGTATCTATGGCGCCGGATGTCTGATCACAGAAGGCAGCCGCGGCGAAGGCGGTTATCTAATAAATAGCGAAGGTGAAAGGTTCATGGAACGTTACGCGCCGGTAGCGAAAGATCTCGCATCGCGAGACGTAGTGTCTAGATCTATGACAATGGAAATCAGAGAGGGCAGGTGAGTCATCCGTGGTGAATTTCCATCGCATCTTCGGAAATATTCGTGATAAATGTAGTCCCTTTTTCTTCGCTTAGAGGCGTCGGACCGGAAAAGGATCATATTTACTTGCAGCTACATCACCTGCCGGCTGAACAGCTGGCCGCTCGGTTGCCGGGAATTTCGGAGACGGCGATGATATTCGCTGGTGTCGATGTGACTCGGGAACCCATCCCCGTTTTACCCACCGTTCATTACAATATGGGTATGTAAATTTTTTTTTTTTTTTTCCAGAATAAGTTTATTATGAAAAGCAAAGAGTAGTTTTAATAATTAGATCATTTTAATTATATTTTATTATTCTAATATTTTTAGAAAAAGAATTATCGGCATAGATTGCATAAATAAATATACAGGGTGGATCAATAACTCTGTCCACCTGGAATATCTCCGTTATTTTTAGAGATACAAAAATTTTGTACTTATAAAAGTTGTACGGTACCAAAAGGGCCGTAATATGCTACTAATAATTCTTTTGTAAGTGGAGGCGCTTCAGAGATTTCAAGGTCATCTCCATTTTTCTAAATGGAACCCACCTTTTTTTATTACCTATTCTTATAGCTTATCTCGAGAGCTTTCCAAAACACTATAATAATGTATTTCTTCATTGAGTACTTTTCGAGTTATGAGGCTTGAAATAATTTCTTAATTTTACATACACCATAAAATATCTAGTAAAATATTCATTTTTTTATTATCTTACCTTAATACTTTTATATACAAAGTAATGAGAGAAATCAATTGGTGTAAAGAAAAAATAGTTGTTTTTTAAAAAAAAATATGTAATTTGTAATCAACGATTTCATATTTTTTCTTAAAAACAACTTTACGTTTTCTTTTACACCAATTGATTCGTCTCATTATTTTGTACATAAAAGCATTAAAGTAAGATAATCGAAAAATGAATATTTTACTGGATATTTTATGGTTTATGTAAAATTAAGAAATGATTTCAAGCCTCATAACTCGAAAAGTACTCAATGAAGAAATACTTTATTAGAATGTTTTGGAAAGCTCTTGAGATAAGCTATAAGAATAGGTAATAAAAAAGGGGGGGTTCCATTTAGAAAAATGGAGATGACCTTGAAATCTCTGAATCTTGAAGCGCCTTCACCTATAAAAAAATTACTAGTAGCATATTACGGCTCTCTTGGTACCGTACCACTTTTATAAGTACAAAATTTTTGTATCTCTAAAAATAACGGAGATATTCCAGGTGGACAGAGTTATTGGTCCACCCTGTATATAAATGTTATATACAAGGTGTTTCATAAGTGATGGGCAATATTTCAGGAATGGATTCCTCATATTTAGAGAAGAAAAAAAAGTTAATCAACATAGGAAATGATTAGTTTTTGAGTTATTAAGATTTTTGTAATAAAAAATTTTGTCTCATTTCTCGTCTTAGAAGTCCTTTTACAGGCATTCAACAATGTTTTTCAATTGCTTGGCCCCACGCTCACCAGATTTAAACCCACTGGACTTCTTTCTATGGGGTTATGCAAAATCTTTAGTGTATTCATCTGCAGTGAAAAACGTAGACACTCTCCGCAACCGAATTGTGGCAGTTTTTCACGATACGCGCCCCGCCAGGAATTTGGGAGCGTGTTCGGGGCTCAATGACGAGCTGAGACTTGTATTGTGAGAGGAGGTGGACATATTGAACATTTTCTCTAATTATCCAAAATCTTAATAACTCAAAACTAATCATTTCCGGACCTATGTTGATTAACTTTTTTTTCTTCTCTAAGTATAAGGAATCTATTCCTGAAATTTTGCCCATCACTTATGAAACACCCTGCATATATCTGTGAAAATCAACGAATGACAAAAAAAGTTAATTTCTAACTGAACATAGAGCATGTATAATAAATCATAAATTTTCCTCTATGTTAATATACGATGACAATATACAATGACTCTAATGTTTGAAATTATCGAGAAATCTTAATATTATTTGCGATGACGCCAACATTGAAAATATCACAGTTGAGCTTCATCTTAGAAAGGAAATATTCTCAACTACAACTGTTAAATAAGAACATAAGAACATAAGAATGTTTTACAAGATTGATATAAATTATTTAATTATTTTACGTTATTTAGAACAACTTCCATAATCTCCTATAGAAAATATTAAGATTAATTTGTAACGTAATACTCAAAATTGCAGGAGGTGTACCGACAAACTACAAGGGTCAGGTGTTAACCAGGGAAAACAATGAGGATAAGGTAGTGCGCGGATTGTACGCATGTGGTGAGGCAGCTTGTGCATCTGTTCACGGCGCCAATCGACTAGGTGCTAATTCTCTGTTAGATTTAGTCGTATTCGGACGTGCTTGCGCTAAAACTATCGCCCAGGAAAATAAACCTGGCGAAACGATTGGATCTCTCAAACCTGTGAGTTGTATTATTATTTTGAATATTTTTGTTATAAGCGTTTTATATACGGGGTTTTCGAAAAGTCCGGAAACGGTCTAATATCTAAAAAATAAAGCATTTTAGAGAAAAATGTTTCAAATAAAAGTTGTTTGGTTTAAAAAGAGCTATAAAATGGTGGCAATGGTTTGACCATGAATAGTCGCTGGAAGGTCAACTTAAATTTTTTAAATGGAACACCCCGTATATTTTTGCACATTCTTATAACTTATCTCGAGAACTTTCCAAAACACTATAATTAAGTTAGTTTTCATTAAGTACTTTCCGAGTTATGAGACTTGAAATAATTTCTTAATTTTACATAAACCGTAAAATATCTTGTAAAATATTCATTTTTCGATTATCTTAACTTAATACTTTTATGCACAGAACAATGTGAGGAATCAATTGGTGTAAAAGAAAACATAAAGTTGTTTTTAAGAAAAAATATGAAATTGTTGATTACAAATTACATATTTTTTTTTAAAAACAACTATTTTTTCTTTACACCAATTGATTCCTCTCATTACTTTATACATAAAAGTGTTAAGGTAAGATAATCAAAAAATGAATATTTGACAAGATAATTTTATAACTCTCTTTAAACCAAACAACTTTTATTTGAAACATTTTTCTCTAAAATGCTTTATTTTTTAGATATTCGACCGTTTCCGAACTTTTCGAAAACCCTGTATAAGCTACATTCGATTTTTAATTGTAAGAATAGTGCATGACAAATTATATCTGGTTTTTAGAACGCGGGTGAAGAGACGGTAGCCAACTTAGATTGGGTCAGAAACGCCAACGGCTCTATATCTACTGCAGAATTGCGATTGACTATGCAGAAAACGATGCAGACGCACGCAGCGGTATTTAGAGAGGCCCAGACCTTGCAGGAAGGTAAAAAAAAACGATAATGTAATAGGCACTTGTGTTGCATATATAACTGCGTTTAATTTATCAACATTGCGTAACGTTGTTATGAAATTCTTTCAGGCTATCGAAAAATGATAGACCTCTATAAAAAACTCGACGAAGTGAAGGTCGCAGACAGGTCTCTAATATGGAATTCTGATCTGATAGAGACGTTAGAGTTGCAAAATCTCATGGTCAATGCTATGCAGACCATTGTAGGGGCAGAGAACAGAAAGGAGAGTCGCGGTGCGCATGCTCGCGAAGATTACAAGGATAGAATCGACGAATATGATTACAGTAAACCGCTCGAGAACCAACAACCGAGGCCGTTTGAACAGCATTGGAGGAAGCACACGTTATCGAAGATCAATCCGAAAACGGGAGAGGTATTTTTTTACATTTGTAGATTAAATACATAGCTATTGATATGTATTAGAAATTATTTTATAAATAATCAAACTTTTATTATTATTTTATATCGTGATACGTTCAGTTTTTTAACCAATGTTTGCTGTAGATAATTTCAAAATTATCTAGATAAAAATAAAGATAAAAATCCGTAAATTTATCTTAGATAAGATAAAGATGATTTTGCTTTTACTTAATCTAGATGAAAGATGAGATAATTATTGCGATAATCTAGATAATTATTTAGATATTTTTGTTTATTTTAGAAGACTATAAATATTTGTAAAAAAATATGACGCAGATTATAAATGGGATATTAAAATCATAAACACATTCTTTCTCTTTTCCTAAAGAATATTTAAATAATAGCAAAAAGGTATATAAATGATATGATAAATATTTATTTATTAATTTATATTTATAATATATTTATAATATATTAATAATATAATAATAATATATTTATAATATATTAATAATAATAATATAAAAAATATATTTTAGACATTTTAGATAGATTTTTAGAAGCTTGCTTTAGATTTCTGGAAAACTTTTTTGCATAATGAAAACGTCATCTTAGACAATTTTTAGATAAGATGACATATTTTTCATCTAAGATAAAGATAAAGATACTTTGTATTTTTCATCTAAGATAAAGATACTTTGTATTTCTTCATCTAGTTAAAGATAAAGATGATCCATTTCTTTATCTAGATGATTATCTAGATAATTTTATCTAGATACCAGCAAACACTGTTTATAACTTATTGTTTTATTTCATTCACATTTAAGGTGTCTCTGGACTACAGACCGGTAATTGACGTTACGCTCGATCAACAGGAATGTGCGACGGTTCCACCAGCGATTCGTTCCTATTAAACCAATTCTATAAATAGAATATTAAAATCCATCGCCTTAGAACTCTCATTGATCGCCATCAAATTTTGATTTGTGCACGATTCTCGTTGCTGTTTAAATAATAACATTTTAAAATCGAAGCAGTGCAACGAGAATCGTCAGGACGGTCTTTGTTCTACTACTACTGTGCGCAGCAAAGGTATTAATTTATTTCACACACATACACATATATACACATAAACTTTATAGTGCGCCAAAGTTGATTCTTGTCATCGCTTGCGCCGTGAGTCGCGAGCAGAATTAGTGGTCCTTGTAGGATACCGATATATTTTTTTCTTGTCTTGTATAAAAGAACTCGCTCGATCTCGCTCAGCGGAATCTGTAGCTTCAATTCAACATAAAATAATAATCGAAATCAGAGCAATTACGGTAATAGAAATCCGGATATACAAACATTTTGAGGAAATGCATTTTTTCCTCCTGTAATATAATACAACGTATCCGGTTACGCGATCTTTTTCTTCGCTTAAGTCACAGTACAATGTACTCTCGCGTGCAACATTAAGAAGAACTTCATACAGGTTGTCCCAAAAGTCCCGGACCGATCGAATATTTCATAAACTATGCACTTTAGAAAGAAATGTTTCAGACAAAAGTTGTATGGCTTGAAGGGGACCATCAGATAGTGGCAATGATTTGACCTTGGAGAGTCATTTGAAGATGACGTAAAGGTCACCTTCAATTTCTTAAATGGAACCCCCTATTTTTTATTACATATTCGTGTAGCTTATCTCGAGAGCTTTCATTGCTATCTGATGGCCCCCTTCAAGCCATACAACTTTTGTCTGAAACATTTCTTTCTAAAGTGCATAGTTTATCAAATATTCGACCGGTCCGGGGCTTTTGGGATACCCTGTATAATGTCGAAAAAAAAATTGGAAATGTCATTACAAATTGTTATATAATAAAACTTTTGTAAATTTTGATAAGGGCTTATTAAGAACGTTTAAACACTCTGTTGATAGGAGTTTCTTGAATTAATTATTCATCTTCTGTACAAATATTTATTATGTGATTATAATGAATTTTATTGATTTTCATTTATTAATAGAGTATTTTATAAATTATTGCACGCGATGGTATTTTATAATTATTATTATGTCATTTTCGATTTTAATTTTATGCTTATTGTAGCTATTTATACTTTTGGCATTACAGAGATATACAGAATTATTTGCAAGATTTATTTTTAAATGCTATTTTTTCGTATATGTATTTTTTTTTTTGCAAATTAGTGACAATTAATATTGTTGTCTGTTATGTTTTTCCATTTGGAAATTGTTTGAATCATTGAAACGTTTATAAAAGTTGTGTGCGAAAATGATTACGAGCACATATAATTCTTAAAATAATCATATGTTACCTTTTGTTGCGGCTGAATACTTAAATTACTTTAAGATAACGTCATAGAGAAGCAATATTAATGCTATATTTTTTTCTTTTTCCTTTTTTGAAATATCATGAAACCAAAAACTACAATATATTTTTCAATTATTATTCATATAAACTCAAATTCAATTATTATACATATATATTTTCAATTATTATCTTTTTTAGTATGATTATCTTTTTTTACAAAGAAATGTTGCATTTTTTCAAGATAATTGATATTTTTCTTGATTCAGATTAAAATTTATTATTTTGTTATATTAATTTGAGAATTAGATGAGGATAAGTGATAGGGAATAATAAATATTAAAATATATAATTGTGATATTTTAATTTTGCCGATTAAAGTTGTTTCTTCTATGTCGTTTTTTAACATTGTACTGATATTATTTCTAAAACCTGAGTTGTAATAGTTACATTACATAATATGTTAAAATATGCGGCATACAAATATATAAAATATTATAATCTGTATAATTATCTGTAAAAAGATAGTACGAGCATGCTGCTTGGTGGAAATGTACATAAATGCGAAAAATGTCAATAAACCGTTGATAGAATTTTTATTCAACGGAATTAAATAATATTCACTATGCAGTGAATTCAATATATATTATGAACGATTACAAGATAATACTGAACTGTGTAATAATCTTGAAAATTTGACATTTTAAGTAAAATTACCTTATCACGACATATATATATATATATATATATATATATATATATATATATATAACATATATAAAAAGCTATATTTATTATAAAAAATAAGAGGTAAAAAAAAAGAAGTTTGAAGACAACGAAACATCGATTCATTTTTAAATCTAGATTTATAAAAGGATAATTAGCAGTAAGACAGGTAAAGTGATAAGGTTTGCATTAACACAAGTCACAATAAATTTTTGTAAGTATTTATTAAACCCATACTTTTGCAGTATTCGTCATAAATAAGAAATTCACAGATTAAATAAAAACTACTACCGAAGACATTTTCTAAAGCATTTTTAAACTAAAGCTCGCTGCGGAGCTAATACTCTAGAAAAGTTTTACACATTACGGTTTAATTTAATAAATGAGGATGCATTTTGATGAGCATGTATTTGCACTCGCAATTTTATATAGGTAATAGTATATATACGCTGCTGAAGAAAGTCCGTAAATATCCTTTTGTTCTTAATCTCGCTAAAAAAAAGCGGGATTTTCGGCACGGAATTCTTATAAAACAATGATTAAAAATCCGAAAAAGTTATTGGCACAACGTAAATGCTTTCCAAAATGTAACTCGACACAAATAATCCTGCAAGTGTCAATAATGGCTTAATAGAGTAAGAATATTATAGTGGTAATTTGTAGATACAATTTTGCATATATAAACATTACTCATATTCAATAATCCTGTTTTCTTTTACAAAAGATATTTATATCTATATCGTGCTTTAAAGAATATCGCGATTAAAATATTATTGACGAAATTTTTTGATTTTGCTTCTTTCAAAAATTCTTGGCACTCGCAATATACTTTGTGTCTAGTCTACAATTAACACACATGTCCAAAAGACATCTTAAAAGACGACTTAAAGACGTCTTAAAGTCCTCTAGACGTTTTTAAGACATCTTTTGGCCTTTTTGTGCTGTCTTGGTTGAACTGTGTGAGACAATCATGCGCATTTGAGATTGAGCATCTCTACCAACGACTTGGCAAAGAGACTCTCGCCGGGAAAGCGGACGATTTAAAAGGCGAGCAAGACGTATCCTTGTCAAGAAAAAATGCATTATAAATACAATTAGCTCTTTTGAAACTTTCATAGACCCAAGGAGAGATTCGTGTCGTTTCCATCAGAATAGACAAATGAATAATAACCCAGACAGCACAAAAGGCCAAAAGATGTCTTAAAGATGTCTAAAGGATTTTAAAACATGTTTAAGTCGTCTTTTATATGTCTTTTGGACATGTGTGCTGTCTGGGAAGTTATTCGTGCATCTTTTCCTTTTAGCGTCATGTAACCAACATGCAAAAACGGTTCAAACGATGAATTCTCCTAATATGTGGAAATAATATTTCTCGAATTCTCGTAACACATCGATTCTGCCTATCGATCCTTAGGACTATGATGGTTAAATCGCGTTACATTTACACTACGTCCTCGCTAGAGAGACATAAAAAACTTTGACTAATTTTTATAATCGTATACATTCGCAAAGCTCGATTCGCCGATGATAATTGTGACAATTTATACAGGGTGGCCCCGAACGTTTCAGCCAGACTTTGAGATCTTATAGGAAATTTAATTCTGAATAAAAAATTTCCTATAAACATGGGTCGAAAAATGCTTCCTTAAGAAGTTATCGCTCAAAAATCTCTGATGAAGGAAGAGCAAAAGGTGAAAAGAAAATGAAATAAAAAGAAAATGAAACTAAATAAATTTCTTGAAAAACGTCTTTATTCATTTTCTACTATTACTAAAATATTAGTTAAAAAAAATTATTTTATTTTCATAAAAGAAAAAGATTTTTATTTTTTATTTTTATCGTTTTTTTCAGGAAATTTATTTAGTTTCATTTTCTTTTTATTTCATTTTCTTTTCTTCCTTTATAAGAAATTTTTTATTTAGAATTAAATTTCCTATAATTTCCTCATTTTCTTTTTATTTCATTTTCTTTTCTTTCTTTATAGGAAATTTTTTGTTTAGAATTAAATTTCCTAAGATCTCAAAGTCTGTGGCTGGAACGTTCGGGGTCACCCTGTATAAGCGAGAAATATCTAATAATTATTTACTTATAATATCGATACGTCGTGCTCTCGCACGAAAGGTTGTCAACAGAATCTTTCGTCGTCGGTTCGCTCGATCAATTAATTGTCGCCTAATAATTATCCTAGAATTCACGTAATGAAAACTCGCGCTCTTTCACGCGACTGAGAGAGGCCAAGTTGTAACTTTCGTTACATAAAAAAGTAAAGAAAAAGATCGATTCTCTAGATTGTCGCAGGAACGACCTAAGAAGATCTTCAAGCTATCATTAAAATCTCGTCATTAAAAATCGCAATTTTAGTCGATATAAAAAATTGGAAATGTACCTCTAATAATCAATTTACAGTGAGAAATTGGATTTTCTATAAGTATGTGAATCGATTGCTTTGTAAGTCCAGAAATTAGAGTTATTTCGGAAATAATAATAGCGAATAGAATGCAATCTGTAAGACAAAAATTGTCTTCAGATGATCATATTGCATAGAAGCTAAAATAGCACTATTGATTTCATATATATGTACTCGTACATAAATTTTCGTTTTCTAGCATATACATAAATTTAATTTATGAAAATTATGGACTCGTAGCTTCATTAAATTGATCGATTCACAATATGTTCTCTCGTTGATGCATGCGATATGAAAATTGAATTGAAAAATTCAATTTTAATAAGATTAATAAGAAATTCAATTATTTTCAGAAGCAATAATTAATTAATAGATTATGATGTAAAATCGATATTTCGAAACCAGAGATGGTTAAAACCAAGAAGTTCCGTTTGTGTAATGTCCATGTAAATTTAAAAGCTTACTCTCTTATTGTGAAGTTTGCATCTCGAACGTTATATACAAATCGTCAGATACATCGAGATTCACTCGAAAACGGAATTATTCGTGTTTCGCACAATTCATACTTAATCGTTCTCTGTCAATGCTACACGTCTCTATCAAACTGTCGCGATAAGATCTATAATTTGAAAGAATTCACAGGATCCGCTTCGTAGATGCGTCTTGTTTTCGAGCGAAAAAATTCAACACTTCTTCAACAAAATTGCAAATTAGCTGATCTTCAATTTTGCAAAAAAAGAATTTTTATTTAAAAAAATTAAATTAGTACACTGAGGAAAAAATTATCTTGAAATAAAAAAATTTTAGTTAATTCAAGAAAGCTATTTATTCGGTGGGTACTAATCACATATTTGCTTGTATTCAAAATGTCTGTTTGCTTAAGTATTTATTTACATGTAGTTAAAAAAATATAATTTTTAATTAAATATTTTTATATTTTAATTTTACAAAATTTTAAAATGCATTTTTTTATTCCCAAAAATTAAAAATTTTTTAATTTTAAAAAATAATATATTTAATTTAATAAATTATAGTATATATTTTACGAAAATAATATTTAAATATAAAAAATATATAAATGAAAACAATGTACTTAATATAATATGCATATTTCATTAAATGCTTTTGTTTAAATGAAATAAACAATTCCTTCCATTTAGAGCAAACATTTGCAGAAAACAAATTTATTTGATTCAAAAAAATTTTTCTCTCAGTGTATAAACGAACAGTTCTAATTTCTTGCAATATATCTTGCAAGTTATCTTCCGATACATTGTAGAAATCCCTCGTGGACGTGTAGCTTTGTACTCCCGACGATGATAATGACGACGTTGGTCCCCGATATCGAGGGGCTACCTGGATCCGACTTTGGATCTTCGGGGGAAGCTGCGAGAGTCCGAAATAGCTCTCCTCCTTTCTTTTCCCTTTGTCAGCAGCCCTCCACAGGAACATAACGCATATCATCCACATTCATACATTCTCTATTTCTCTTTCTCTTGAATCTCGCACACAATGATGATGGTAGGTGACGTTAGATGGATGGTGATGGATTAAGTCTTGTGCATGGTTGGCGGTACTCGGGCCGATACCGTTCACGAGGTGGCCCGTAGTTTCTCCAACGCGGGCACTAGCGACTCCTCCAAGGAAGGTCCGCAGCTCAATCCACATTCGCCGATCCATCTCGCCTTGCCACTCGCATGGGACTGTAAAATAGATACACATATCTTTGATGATTAATGCATATACAGGGTGTCCTAGACCACCCTTTTAAAATGAAAATAAATATAAATAATAGCTTTTCTCAAAAATCGCGAACAATTTTTAAATCGGGTATGCTCTATCAAATGGTGATATTTTCAACTTTTGATTCCGACCGGAAATACGCTATTCGGATCAAAAGTTGAATTTTTTTAAGAGAAATGATACTTTTTATTACAGATTCGAATTGTACGTGAAAAAATTAGAAACTTTTGTATCAAACGTTTTTTCTGAAAGTGCCTCTATCAATTGGCAAAAAAAATTACCACCGCGAGTAGAGGGACGCTCGTGTCGCATAACAAATATGGCTGTCGCAAAGAGCGATTTGACATTCAAGAAAACTATTTTAAAAATTGTTAAGAAAACGCAAATGTTGTCACTGCGTTTAGATACTTTGTACAGCTATACCAATGCTACACCTTCTTCAAGAAATATGATTGAAGGCCAGAATGTAATAAATTCTAGCTTAATTATCATGTGCGGTAAAAAGTCATAAAAAAATTTATTTATTTTCCTTGTGTCTTCACTTTTTGTTTATTCTAATACTTCTCAATGTATTATTCACTTTTATTTCATAGAAACCAGAGTTGGGTAATAAGTAGTTGATTAGTTAAAAGTTAAAAAAAAAAGTTAATAATGTTTAACTCAACTTAGTTATTTTAAAAAGAGTTAACTTTTAACTTTAACTAATTATTTTTAAAACATATAAACTTAAACTTATTAACTTTCCCCCCAAATTTATTTGATGATTCATATTATTATTTAGAGTAATCTAATTTTAAAATTACAATCTAATTTAATATAAAGTGAAATAATGCATTTCAAAATTTTAACTTTTATTTTAACTAACGTTAATTTAATCTTAACGTAACTTTTATTGAGTTAATTTTTTATTTGTATAACTTTTAACATAACTAAATTAATTTTTTAACTCATTAACTTTAACTTAATTTAGTTTAAAAAAAATATAAACTTATCCAACCCTGATAGAAACACACTGATTGCCGTATCTAAACAATATTAAATCGCCCTTTGCGACGGCCATATTTTTTAGTTTGCGTTTTGTCCACTAGTGTCGCATGGTAAATTTATATTCCCAATCTTAAAATTGACCTTGAAAGTAACTGTGATGAATCAAGGTCACTTACCATGGTGAGGTCGCGCTTCCACGCAGTATGACAACGTCCATCGCAGAGCGGGCATGGTCGTTGTAAAGAGTAACCACCGCACTCGCTGCAATCCAGGGAGACATGTTCCTCGCTCCACGACACTCCGCATCTGCGCAGAAAACAAGATAATCGTCGTGAATGCCTCGTCGAACTGCTAAATGCGAGACGCGAGACAAAAAACACGAGTCTTGCTCGCGCAAACTTGATGATTTGCATTGAAAAATTATGTCGTTGGAGGAAAATGTCCTACAAATTCTCAATAACGTTGAATTTTTATGAGATGAGAGATATGTAGATTAAGAATTTATCATAAAAAAGGATTTCCTAAAATCCAAGAGAGAGAAAGAGTATGAGAGAAAATTTCTGCTCTGAATAGAAATATCTTTTGGGAAATTAAATATTTTTCATTAATTGAATTTCGAATATTTCGTGAAAGTATTGCACGCCATCGTCATCTAGACTGCACATTCCGAATGCGGGGTATCGATTCACCGAATAACCATGTCAACCGTCACCAGATAAATTGGATACACCTATTAGCCTCGTTTTCGTGCATTCTAGACCGACAATCAAGTCTAGGAGAATTTAATGAAATTTTTCGTTCTCCAAATATTATCCATCTTTTAAACCAAAAGTTTAAAAAAATATTAAAGAGTATAACTAAGGTCCCACCGCTCATAATTAAATGGCTCCAGCTCCAAATGTAATGAAGTTAGGCATTTGTCAATAAAATCGAGTGAGCAAAGATTCATTTTTTGTGAAAGAGATTTTTTGAATCGATTTAAAATGAAACGTGATAAGTTGTTTTTTCAACATGTACTTCTTCACTACTTTGATTTAAATAAAACTGCAGCTGAAGCTCATCGATTGATTTCTGAAACAGTCACGGCTGACCGCTACCAACAACAATTATACCGATTGAATGATGAATTGATGCGAAAAAGCCCAGTAATCGACGTAAAGTCTTCTTTTGCATGATAACGTGCGACCTCATGTTGCAAGAATCGTAAAAGCAACACTATTGGAGCTCGAATGCGAAGTTCTTCCACATCAGCCTATTCTCCAGACTTGGCCCCATTGGATTATCATCTTTTCCGATTAAGTCCCGATCTACAATAGATAATTTAAGCCCCAAGCCTTAAGAAATTGACCAATCACAGTCGAATATTTTCTTCATACCTGACTGTGACTGATCAATTTTTTAAGGCTTAAGGCTTAAATTACCTATTGTAGACCTGGCCTAATGCAACACGTGCTCGCCGATACATACTTCTTCAATTACGAAGAAGTCCAAAAATGCATCGATCAATGGATCGCTTCAAAAAACAAATCGTTCTATCGTCGCCGAATCCGGACGGGATTCGATAGTCCCAATTGGTCAATTCAAAATAGGTCTCTCTGATTGGTTAATCGTTGCTGGTTACCCTAGGCATAGGTCGATATGATTGGCAGTGGGCAATCGGGACCCATCCGCAGAATCCAACTTTTGCAAAAAAGATGGGAAAAAGCCATAGAAAATGAATTATATCTTGATTAATATATTAATTCATTTTCTTATTGAAATAAATACATTTTTCAAGTAAAAAAACGGAGGGAACTTAATTATACACCTAATAGTAGATTTTAGCGCCTCTCCCTAATTTTTCGTGGAATCCACAAATACTAATTAAAATGTTTTTTTTATCTTGAGTCAAATAAAATCCAACAATATAATAGCGTCACTGCGACGAATTGAAATTATTGTACTCTGGATCGTACCGGATTCCATTGATTTGACAGTAACGTCACTCAATTACGTTACGTAATTCCTGATTAATTCTCCCACAGTCTATCGTAGGATTCCCTGCGGATGTAACTACGCTTGATTTATTTATCGCGAAGCGAACCAAGAGCAAAAATCAGCTGTGAGACTTACGTAAAGCAGGAGTTCAGCTGAGCGCGCAGTTCCTCGATCGTAAGGATCGTGTCCTGGTACTGGGGATGCGAACCTTGCAGACCGTCATCCACGCTGCCGCACAAGCTATGGCAGGATAACGAGATGTTGCTCCTGCAAATCGATAAGATCTACATGAGCAATATGTAATTAAAAATTCACATTTAATTCTAATTTAATCCTTCCAAAATTACAATTATAAATTTTTTTTATAATTTTTTAAGTCTCGCGGTTAAAATTATCGCATTATTAGTAAAAAAAATCAGTTTTCTCGTAAAATAAATCTTTTTCAATAGAAAATTTAATAATTTCCCCAGCAAACACCAACATTTATATAACTGTTAGTTGTAATTTCCCACTCAGAAATATAACTGTTACATGTTATGTAATAGTTATATAACTGTTATTTAATGTTTGCTGGATTATATTGTACAATAATTTTTGCGCAATTAACTATCCTTTTACTTCTATTTTTCTCAAGATTTATTTAACTCATAAACTCTATATTTCGATGGTAAAAAATTTCCGTTATAAAACATCGACAATCTTATCGAGGACTTTATATCTTTCGGGTAGACTATTATTTAAAAAAAAAAGTGACGCGGCATATGAGGAGCAAAGAGGAAAAGGCAAAAGTCCGACGAGTTTAGTTGTTTGCGAGACATATTTTTCAATTCCCAGAGCAATGATTTGTCAAAATAAAACGATGATATGAGAGTAAACTACCTTGAACTACGCCCGAAGAAAGAAGTTGCGCGCAGCGGATTAATTCAAACGAGCCTGCGCATATAATAATCAGGAAGGAAAACGTTTCTCTCACGTGACGACTACATGAACGCACGTGTAATAAGCCAGTATTCGACACAGTCACGTAGACACAAGAGAACAAAGGCCGAGAACGCAGCCTCATGAAAGATCGTAAATCGTAAAAGATTGTCAGCTGATGGCACTACGCCAGACAGGCCCGTAACCAGTCCATTATGTTAGAGGGGGCAAACAAAATAGGTGGGGCAATCTCAAAAACTCTTTTCCAATGCACAAAATACATTTTTTATTATTTAAATATCGATGCAATATTTCATAAGAAATACCAATAATATAAAATTACAATTAAGTAAATATTAAAATGTTAAAATAATTGTAATTTTCGAGTTGTCCCGTTATTGAAAATTCTTAGGAAACATAATAGTTTCTAAAAATGAAAGAAAAAAAATTCTTTTACTGCCTAGTGCCCTTAAATATGCAGAGTATTAGGAAACAAATAAGATAAAAATTTGCAAAAATAGGTGGGGCAATCTCAAAAACTCTTTTCCAATGCACAAAATACATTTTTTATTATTTAAATATCGATGCAATATTTCATAAGAAATACCAATAATATAAAATTACAATCAAGTAAATATTAAAATGTTAAAATAATTGTAATTTTCGAGTTGTCTCGTTATTGAAAATTCTTAGGAAACATAATAGTTTCTAAAAATGAAAGAAAAAAATTCTTTTACTGCCTAGTGCCCTTAAATATGCAGAGTATTAGGAAACAAATAAGATAAAAATTTGCAAAAATAGATGGGGCAGTCTTAAAAACTCTTTTTCAATGCACAAAATACATTTTTTATTATTTAAATATCGATGCAATATTTCATAAGAAATACCAATAATATAAAATTACAATCAAGTAAATATTAAAATGTTAAAATAATTGTAATTTTCGAGTTGTCTCGTTATTGAAAATTCTTAGGAAACATAATAGTTTCTAAAAATGAAAGAAAAAAATTCTTTTACTGCCTAGTGCCCTTAAATATGCAGAGTATTAGAAAACAAATAAGATAAAAATTTGCCAGGGGGGGGGGGAAATGAAGTCCCTAGGGGGGGGCAATGCCCCCATTTGCCCTCCCCCTGATTACGGATCTGACGCCAGATGAGCAATTATCAACTTTTGCATCACGATCATTTCTTCTTGCCAAATTAAACACAATGAGATACTGAATTAAAACAATAATAAAGAATAATATTATACCCAGCTGGGAATTGGCTGAATTTCGACTGATAATTAATTTTGTCCAATTTATTTTCATACAGATACTGATATAAAATGTGGAAATATTTAAATTATAAAATAATTAAGTAAGAAAAAAATAAATAGAATAAAATTTTCTTTACGACGTGAGAAGTTCAAATTTTATAAAAAAAGAAACGCTAGAAAAAAATTTATTTTTTTCTATTCGTGACGTTAAATATTCTCTCGAGACGACAGCATATAATGTCTTTAACGATTGATGTTTCCGTCTAGGAATGCAATGGATTACGTAGGAAGTCGAGTTATGCGTTGCGCATTTTGACGGAAACGTCGCAATCATTGACTCACACGTGCTAAACTTGTCTCTCTTTCTCTATATCTTTCTTCTCTATTGCGTTCCGCATTTAAGATTGCACCGTTTGCATTTAGCATTAATTAACCGTGGAAATTATCCATTGCAAAAACGATGATGCGATTATGTAATGTCGAAGCTTCTAGTTTTTAATCATAAGGATACGATGGCATATATTTGTCTTAATCATTGAACATCATTTTCATATTTATGTCCTCATTTCATGACAGGTAAATTTGACAAAATAATAAGTCGTTATCAATTTATTAAATCTAATTTAATTTCATTCGACTTTGATCGTATGTTTAATTTATTAAAATGTAGCTATTTTCATCTAAAATAGTTAATATTTATTTTATATGATTTTAATTCCTATACGAGATGCAAATAAAATAGCTACATTTTAAATTGAACATACGATTTAATGAAATTAAATTTAATAATTTAATAATTCAATTAAATTCAAAGAAAGAAAAAAGATCAGACAAGCAATGATCGGAATATCCCAACGCGATGATACGAGTTTCGTGTCAACATACTCGTGGTTTTCCTGCAACGGAAAAATTTCGAGGAAGGAGGAAAATCATTGAAGCGAGACAAACACGTCGGACAGATATTTGCAATTATAAGTGGCGGCTACCCGCGAAAGAATTAAATTTACTCACCCGTGGCGGGAGAGGCTCTCGGTTGTGGCTGGCTGCACGGAAGTGACCGACATGTTGCACTGATAAATGGGTACTGAAACATAAATGAGAAAAATATTTATAGTCACAGTCATTTCCAGTCGCCATTCCTGCGAAACTGGGAGCGGTAATGATTTTTTTAAATATTAAAAGAGATCTTTCCTTTGACGATAAAGAAACACACGAGATCGATATTTTCCAAGTTTCATTTAAAAATTTTTAGTAAATTAAGCGTTTTGTCCGAAAAAAAATTCCGAGCTTTTTCGTCATCTAAATGAAAATGACTGTCCTCTGGAAATTTTCAGAAGCTAATACTACTGATAACGAGTATTTCTATGTATGTGCCAGATACGATAACCAGATGTGATTACGCATGGAATTAGAAACTTTTTCAGAAAATTGTCTTAGAAAATTAGAATCGATATCATGATGACAAAGGTCAAGGTTAATATGTTCATATATACATATGATCCTTTCATATTTCAAGATACTATTCGATTTAGACTCTGAGAATATATCGTACATGTGGCTCTGTAAAAGTTTTTATCATGATTTTACATAATAGTTTTTTTCCACTCACAATAATCATTTCTTTCGACTCCACTTTATTGAGATTTAATCGCATTTAATAAAAATTTTTAGTATGTTGCGTTAGACAATTTTACGAGGGTGGTTTGAAAAGTTCGTGCAAAGGTAGAGAGATGGCGCCACTGGTGGTATCGAAGTTATTTTCAATTAGTAGCATCTCTTGGAAGAACACACATCAAGTTTCAGATCGGTCTCTCTGTATTTGGCGTTCGTTTGAATCGAGGAAGTCAAGTGGTTTCTAAAAAAAATGGATGACAGAGAATTTCGTGTGTTGATCAAACAAAATTGATGGAGTTAAGGTTCCAACTCGTTCCGCATCCCCCATATTCTTCAGATTTGGCTCCCTCGGACTACAACTTGTTCCCCAATATGAAGAAATAGCTGGCGAGAAGGAGATTTTACTTAAACGAGGAGATGATTGCGGAAACGAATGCCTATTTTGCAGAGTTGGATCAATTCTATTATTCGAAAGGGATCAACAAACTGGAGCAGCGTTGGACAAAGTGTATAAGCCTAAAAGAAGACTACGTTGAAAAATAAAAAAGGTTTAGCCCGAAAAATTAAGTAGTTTTCATTTTTGCACGGACTTTTCAAATCACCTTCGTATTTTTTATTTAATTTATTTAATTAATTATTTATTTAATTAATTTTATAGTAAAGCCGCATGTTTATATAAATATTATTGTATGCATATATGTGTGTGTGTGTGTGTTGTGTGTAACATTATAGATTGTATTACAGAGAATCAACGTGCTTATGTTTAATGATTTATTAGAATAGCCTCAACATGTGTACATCACATATGTACATATACATGTACATATACAGGGTGGCCTTTTCGTTTCATTCAATGAAAATGAAACTAAATAAATTTCTTGAAAAAAACGATAAAAATAAAAAATAAAAATCTTTTTCTTTTATGAAAATAAAATAATTTTTTTTTAACTAATATTTTAGTAATAGTACGTAATAGTAGAAAATGAATAAAGACGTTTTTCAAGAAATTTATTTAGTTTCATTTTCTTTTTATTTCATTTCCTTTTCACCTTTTGCTCTTCCCTTCATCAGAGGTTTTTGAGCGATAACTTCTTTGGTAGGGAAGCATTTTTCGACCCATGTTTATAGGAAATTTTTTGTTCAGAATTAAATTTCCTATAAGATCTCAAAGTCTGGCTGAAACGTTCGGGGCCACCCTGTGTATAACGATAACGAACGAAGGACACCGCGAGAGTGGATTTCACCGCGATCTCACCTTGGCACGAAACCCCGGCGTGCTTTTACTTTCTACGAGAAAGCATAGTCAACAAGACCAATATACATGGTCTGCATCGACGATATCGATAAAACACTCGGCTTCCGTCACAAGTTGCGCAATCGCGAGACGAAAGGACGATTTTGCATTTTTCACCTATTGTTCGTTTCATCAATTTTCCGCTTGATCGATATCTAGCAGGAAGCTTGCCTACAAAATCAACGCGCAACATACAAAAATATGTAATCCTCTCGTTTTCTCATTCTCTCCCCCTCTCTCTCACGATCCTTGTTACGTTTCTATGAAATAAGATTAATTTGCACGGTAAAGGATGGATATAAATAAATGCAAGAAACGTAGAAATAAAATGTCGATTGAAAAAACGATGAAATATAACGATGAAAAAACGATAAATATAATCAAGGAAATACTTTGATTTGAAATTAGAACCGAAGAACTGTTACAAAATCGGATCATTACAATATCGTTGATAGCCTTGCAATCGTATACAGGTAAAGAGAAAGTCAAGGATTTTCTGTGGCTGACACGTGTCAGATACGCGGATATCGCTACGAATGAAATGACTCGAACAGGAAACTAATAAACGGCGTTGATAAGGAATTCCTTCGACATTCTCCGTCTGATATACAGTAAATAAAAATAAATAACGTCGCACTGATGTGCTGGTCATAAATTATACAATTATAGAAACATCCATATAAACGTATTTCATACATTTCTACAGATGCCATCATTTCAATTAAATATGCGTAAGCAAAGAGGATCAAACATCAATGCAAGGTAAATCCATTTAAATCAATTTTTTCATCATCGAATTTTCTTATAATCCCTTATATTTTTGACTTTTTTTTAGTTAAATATGCACAATATGAAAAAAATATTCAAGAAATGAAAATTAGTAAATTTTTAAAATTTATATTTTTATAATTATTTAAATACTTATATATTAATATAAACTTATTATAAATCATTTAATAATATTAATATTATTAATATTAAAGTAAATTAATAAATCTAATATTTATTAAAAGTTAAAAGAATATTTAAAAGATTTATAATATATTAAACCTATAAATCGATATGATTAATTATTTAAAAAATTGAATAATTCAAAAATTTTATTACTTTTATTTATTTATATTTATGAAAGAGAAAATTGTCGAGTTTGTTTCACAGGAATGAATTAATCGCGTATGAAAAGGTTCGATTACTCGTGAATATTTTATACGCACTATCGATTCGCGTTTCGCAGGCCGTGTTTTAAAAGCGTACGCACAACCTAGGATCGATATCGCGCGTTGTCGCTGCCTTAGTATTACGTCGCATCGAACCGATCGATTTGCATCTGCATTTATAAACCTTCAGGGGACTATGGAATTGCGCATTGTCACATACATGTGTATGTATGCGGATTCTCGTTAACCGCGATAGCGTAGTCGCTGATAAAACCAGTCATCCCTCGCGAATTCCCGACATTCCTCGAGATGTAGTTATAGATATATCGGCTCGCAAGAATGCGAACTGAAGAGCCTCGAGATGTTTTAATAACAATGATCCAATGAAAGTGAATTGAGCGAATTGAAACCTGCCGATAACACACGGTCAGGATAATACTCCGAATTGCAAGTCGCACTGATAACGTTTATCGCGGCCACGCTCGTGCAATGTGGTACGAGAAATACACCTACGAGCGAGGTTCTCGAAATTGTACGTTATTTCGCGAAAGTGAATTTTTCTTCGGTCAATCTTGTGGATTTAACAATGCTAAGACAACATTTTCGAATGAAGCATTTGAATTTGTCATCTATCAAACACGTGTTCCATCGAAAATGGGTTTCGAATTTGATTTTAATACATTAATAATATAAATAATATACAGGGTGGCCCCGAACGTTCCAGCCAGACTTTGAGATCTTATAGGAAATTTAATTCTAAAGAAAAAATTTTCTATAAACATGGGTCGAAAAATGCTTCCTTAAGAAGTTATCGCTCAAAAACCTCTGATGAAGGAAGAGCGAAAAGAAAAGAAGAAAGAGTGAAAAGAAAATGAAATAAAAAGAAAATGAAACTAAATAAATTTCTTGAAAAACGTCTGTATTCATTTTCTACTATTACTAAAATATTAGTTAAAAAAAAAAGAAATTATTTTATTTTCATAAAAGAAAAAGATTTTTATTTTTTATTTTTATCGTTTTTTCAAGAAATTTATTTAGTTTCATTTTCTTTTTATTTCATTTTCTTTTGCTTTTCCTTCATCAGAGGTTTTTGAACGATAACTTCTTAAGGAAACATTTTTCGACCCATGTTTATAGGAAATTTTTTGTTCAGAATTAAATTTCCTATAAGATCTCAAAGTCTGGCTGGAACGTTCGGGGCCACCCTGTATAAAATACATCCCGTTTGACATTTATTCTGGCTTTAAAGTACAAGATTCCTAACTCTGATTAATCAATCAAGGCTTACTCGCATTTCATTGATCAATCTAATAATTCAAATATCCAAGACGGAGTTTATGACGTCATTAATCGTTCCCAAGAACGATCAAATTTGCTTCTCTCGAAAACGTTATTTGTTAACGTCGCATATAAAAAACATGTTGGAGATTTATCCTTACCGGAAGTGTTTTTATTTATTAACATATGTTACGTATGTTTCTTTCGAGTCACTTCGTTGCACAATTGTACATATTAACTTTTATGTGACCACGCTTTTTTTTTTATTTTACGCATCGATGATTACGCGGTAAGCAATTATTATCGTTTTCCTCGTTGAATAAAATTAACTCGCTTGATCGCAATGTCCTATAAAAAAAAAGTATAATTTCTTGGTATCTTATTTATATATCACGCACGAAGACACGAGAAAATTACACTTTGCAATTATAGAGGATTTTACGCTAATAATATATTTATTACCTGAGCACCCAAGATCTTATCTAATATACAGATGCAAAAATTATTATAATAAATATTGTATATTATGTTTGTAAATATTAACAAACATTTTTATTTCAAACTTGTTTACAACTTATTTTGAGAAATCAACCACATGATAAATTGGGAACAAAGTTCCGAAGAAAGAGGGAGAGACCAAGAACCGCTATCTTATTCCGGTATTTGATAATTTTGACAGATAATGCGTAGTCGTTGCGTATCTTGCGTATTTTTCACGAGATTATGGCACAACTATACTAT